ACCAGCAAGGTGTCCTGTTTCACTGTGAACTCGCATTCAATGATATCACGGCGTTTCCGTGCCATTTATATGAATAAATTCAACAATGTCACTCATTTAAGTAGGCGATATCAGAAATCCACACATGAAAGTGGATTACTGCAATTCGTAGAGGCAATAATGCATATTTTAATGGATGATGTCATCTTTTTCTAGTTTAGGTCAATGGTCAAAATGGGGGTCAATGTCCACAACGACCTATGTTTGGTCACCCACCGCCTAACCTTGGTCGACCTAAACTCTATGTACACATACCTAATTCCAGTGATAAGTAGTGCACTGACACACTGAAACACTGAAATTTTGATGCAGGTTAATTGTTGGTTGGAATAACATACATTTGATATATAACAGCCCGCATTGCCTAGATTTACCTGTGCATCAAGTATGAAATCCCAGTAACTTTTTTTTTAATTAGGTCAAAAGTCAAAATGGAGGTCATTTAAACTGACTTTTTTAAATATATATAACACACCGCCTCACCTAGGTTAACCTTTATTGCAAATATGAAGCTTCATTAACAAATAGTGTAGCAAATAGAGTTCGAATAAGGTATAGTGCTGAAGGACGGAAGGACAAATAGCAAACTTCTAATCCCTCAATGTAATTGAATGAAGGAATGGAGAAAGGTATGAATAAATAAGTACAGAAAAATATTTACACATAATCAGTTATCAATCGAACGGTTTAGAGCTGATTATCATACACGTTATAAAATCATATCATTGCCGTCAGTAGTCAGTTCATCATTCCCAAACGATAGTACTTACACAAGAATTTGAATTTACACAATAAAGGAAACTATAATTCAACCTATTCTTCGATAAAACTGTGGCAAAATAGGAACAAAAAAATTCTTATGGAAGCAACAGAAAAAAAGTAGGATAATAAGCCAGGTACGGTTTTTTTTTTGTTTTGTTATTTATGTGTTATAGAGAATGAATCGGGATAATTAAAAACAATGGTACTAACAAGTCAATTCGGAAAAAAAATAACTAAAGGAAGGTTCCTTTCGCTTTAGTGGTCAAATGAACTGTGGTCAACTTCGCCGTTATGGTTCTTAGGGCCCGGTTCATTTCGCTATGCTTCATAATACCGTGTCATAACGAGAGAGGCCAGTACGCACACTATAAAACTTATGCAAAAATAGTTATTTGAGTTGCCTCCCCTAGACCACATATTAAAGGCGGCCGAGAATTTTAAAAAGAGAAATCTCGACAACAAAACAGACACAAAACAAAACAGTTGTATTTTGTTCGAATGACTGCAGCTGTTTACTCATTTTCTGGAATGTCGTTTGAAATAAAATAATTGTTTGCTTATCTTTCATTGCTTTGATTGTGTCATAGCATAGCTGATATTACGAGGTAGTTTCGTATATCAAAACGAAAGTAGAAAACCCAAAACCTGTGTGTTTGATCAGCAAGGAAAGGTGAATTCACGCTGAAATGTCTGTATTCTTGTTTTGAACATCCGTATGAAATTACCAGCCATCATGGCATCCTACTACCGTTTAATCTCGCATTTTCCGCCACAATATGCAGTGTCGCCTTCGATAATGTTAAAGGTAAGACATAAGATGATCTCTGAGTGATTACGTTGACTACGACAATCGTGAAAAGTTTAAAAGCCTTTTTATCGTCTCTCGTTTGGAATTTTGAGGTAAAACTAGCCTAAAACTCTATTGTTATTAGTACTGCTATCATCTCGTACTTTTATTGTCATGACTTTTCTATGTCTATCCATAACGAAACCGAAAGTAAAAATCCTGCCGAAACCAAAGATACCGTGTTGTAGGTATGCTACCCGTTACACTTAATCACAAAACCACAAACGAACCATAGTAATGAAGATTTTCTGAAATTCTCCACGTACGCAGATAAATCATCAATCATATTCCTATGTACACTGAGGGAGAAAATAATTTGACGTGATGCTAAAAAAATACGCTAAATGTTAACGATGTACTGTTGTCGAATCGACTACGCTTTGTTTAATATTTGGTCATATAGAGAGTCAGCATACTCGAAACTCAATTTAAACACACTGGGTAACAGTGTACGCCAGGTAAATGCTATGTATAATGTATTCCTTTATGCTGTATGCTTGTTTATCTTCCTCCTATCTCTCTGACTGTACCTGTAGCTCACTTCACCAGGTTGCAATGTTTCAGTTTTAATTTCATACATTATGCATTGGTTTACCGGTATTTGATATTATCCGGTGACTTTGGGTTCAATCAAATTCCTCTGTCCATGATTTAATCAAACTGACCTCTGTCTTCTAACAAAAATGCCAGTTTCTGTAACTTTAATTTTCAATTGTTGATCTTAACAATTAAAGTATCAAATATAGACTCGATGTTCTAGAAACCGAACTCGTTTCTATATCATCTTTCACTGAAACTTGGTTACATGAGAATGACATTTCTGTCTGGTTACTATACCCAATCTGTCTATCTCGACTCAAACAGATCGGTGCCGAGATAGCCTAAAACGCGGTTTATTTCTTTAATATTAAGCTGAGATTTGTTTTACATAAACAGATTTTATGATATTTGTTTACGTAAAACAAATATCTACAAAAGCAGTCCAGCTTTGAAGTTAAGTTACCTACTTTTGAAAGTGATTGGCGGGAACTAGTTTTGGGCGTAGAGGAATGTTTATATGGCACATTTTACAGACCTCCTAACTCCACTGTAATAATCTAGTCACATATTTCGCAAACGGTCAAGATTCCATTTAATACATGTACATTTGTATAACAAAGATAGGTAATTTCAATGCTTACTAGAAGTTTTTAAGTCAACCCACATAAGTACAATTCTAATATCTTTATATTTATTGCAACTTGATGAATAATTACTGTTCTATACTGAAGCCTCCACATCTCGTCCGATATAGCCTGCTTAATCGATGCCAATCTCTAAGATAACGTTATGCCGGAGAAATATTTCTTCACCAGTCCATGATATATCACTGTCCTACCTACTGATCATTTAATATTGTCAAGACGACTCGGCAAGTCTTCTAGCATCACGTTTGTTTCTTTGATCACACTGATAATTTATTGCTTAGCGAAAAACTGACCACAGTTGATTTATCTATTTTAATTTTATTGTTTATAATCGTACTGATATTTGCGAGACATTAGTAAGTTTATGCGAAAAAAAGAAGTGTTGGGCCCAAGAAGCCAAACATTCAATGAACAAGACTTACTTGTTAGTATTTCGCAATAACCAGAATTCATGTGTTAATACTAAAATTAAGAATAAAATACAGTATGTTTATGCATTATGTTGGAAGTTTTAAAGATCCTCAAATATTAATGCAAAAAGGTCGAAAACTATAAGTTTATTAAAACGAAACTCTGGTAAATTTTTTATATGTTCACTAATCCAAAATGATTTTTTAGTCACAAACGACTTTCAATGGCTTGTTAGTTTAACTATTTCTTCTGTGCCGAATCCAACGTTGATGATACTTATGCTAAATTCCGTCTGTTGATGACGTAATTAACGATATTTTCACATCTGTAAATATAATACTTGCTAATGTAAGAACGCTTTCTAAACTTTCTAAAGCTACGGGTCCGGATCTCGTGAATCTTCGATTTCCAAAGGAAGTCATCAATTAGGAGGCAATCGTCGAAATTGCCTCATATAAGGCTCCATCCATTGTCCTCATATTCATTAATAACGACGTGAACAATATTAATTCCATCACTGAGTCGAAAATCTGTCATCCCTCCATCTCCTATGACTAAATATAACACTAATAAAACAGAAATGGTTCATGGATTAGTGAGCCAGTTCCTTCACAACATAATAACTAATTTTCTTCCTATAACGTGTCTTGTTTTTATAAGACGTCTTTTTTCTCTGCCAAAGATTGGCTCCTTGAACTCCTGACCCGATCCGATAAAGTGTGACTCCTCATTATAAAGAGTGAACAAGATTAAATGGACCGAATGTCCGTCCAATCTCTCTTTAAAGTGGTAGCAGGATAGGTGAGAAATTCCATGCCATATGAAGGATGGAGTTTAGTTCTCTCATACTTGATTTGTTTTATAGACATGTAATGATGTAGATGAAGGCATGGAACACTTCTAGCTTTTTCGTAACTTTGTGAACGTGCCCATAGCGCAATGACCTCTTCTGATACCACGATCTTTACCTACAACGAAACCAGCAAGGACATCTTTCCAACAAGACTTTACGATAAGCGCGATGATATAATTTACATTTTCCCCTAATAACTGGATAGCGACACCCTGTATCTCCACATTATGATGTTTGAATGTCGCGGCTGATTTGATATTCAAGGGCCTGTTCCCAATATAACGATTTGCGTGCAAGATGTCGGCAACTGAAAGACAAACTCACTACACTGGCTTTCGATAGATGCAGGCTGATTTCAGCGGGAAATAATCTTGTAATATGATTGCACGTGTTTGATTCTGGTTAGTTTGTCTGGTTGTTCCAGTGTTGTTGCTTACATTTTCCCATTTTGGAACATGACATAAATTACTCGGAACCATTTATACGACGGATGTCTTCGAAGAAACTTATTCTTTCGGAACAACTGTGAATTAATCTTTTGTTCCCTTTCCCCCTGGTTTCAACGTATTTGAGTTTGAAATAAGATTCTTTTGAGAGTCAATATTTTCTTAGTTGTGTAATGAACATATTAGGGAACAACCAACCAGTTGAAAAACAGACTTTTGAAATGTCCCATGTGTATAGAAGATTGAGCCCTAGAATAAAGATTGTCCGCCATTAATTGGCCAGTAAAAAAGTTCCAAAGCAGATATATTTCCTGGCAGGCAATTATTCATAGATAATGTTGATATAAATTTGGTAAGTCTGATTGGAGTCTTTGTTCAAAATCCAAGTTCATATAATAAATAAATGAAAAAATAAGAATTTTCAGAATTTTCACTGCAAAATTCATAGTTTCAAAATGGCCCACTGGAAAAACTTTGAGCTCAAGTACCTCCCCTATTTTTCATTAAGTGCTGTATGAGACCCTAAACTTTTGTTATAGATCGTAATGTCCAAATTGAATGCAACAGTTTTAATTATATACCCCAGAGCGTTAACACCGAAGCATATGTAAATTCTTAAATATGTAAAGTCCTTGGGACCCTTGAAATGACTTTAAGATTCTTACAGTAAAAAATAACAATAATGTATTGGAGCCGTATGTTTAGCAACTCCACCTTTCCGGTCCTTCTCTTCTTACCTTCGCATGTTTCTATTTTTGTTTGATATATACAGTCAAATCAAGCCAAGTCCATACATTTTGTTCTGGACACGGTTTTATATGTGCAACACTTGTGTTTGAATCAAAGTCGACTTGTTTTAACATGCTTATCATATAATGAATGTATTGTATAAACGAATGAACCATAGGGTAGTGTGGTGATATTTGATCATTAACTATTATATTCTTTTAATGATGAAACGTAACCGTTATTTAGTTCTGCTGTATCTAAATTGTTATCAAAAGGTGCTATTCACTTGTGTGTCTTTTGTACAATCTATTATGTATGATTGACATTTGCTATGTTTATATTTGCAGGAACTTACGAAGGACGCTAAAGGGAAACTGAATCGTCTGTCTCTGTATCTGAAAAAGCTTAATGCTGATGATGAGGTGCGTATAAATGACACCGTTAATTAGTCCCCGACCGGAAAATGAAGGTGGGGGATGGGTGGAGGAGGGGATGGGGCAGTTAGAGGCTATGGGTTTGATATAATGTATGTGTCCCTCCGTCCTGCTGTACATAATCCTATTCGGGTTCTATCCGCTACACTGAAATTTCATATTTACAGAAAAAATTACATAGGTAAGGCAGTGTTATATATAAACTGTGGACTGTTGTGTTGACTTGGATTATGACTTAACCACCAGAATAGATATAGGGTTCTTAAATAGAAGAAACCGACAGCACATAAATCATGGACATAGTATACCGACATAAACACACAATACATTAATGCAATTATCCGCGACATATGGTACAGTTACTTGTGAAGAACGTTTAAAAATAATTGAATGAATACAGAATTACCAGGACTGGCTAATATGAGTCTGATCGATATTTGCTGGGAATAGGACGAAAATTTCCAATTACGTTTTCATCCAATCAAACATCATACCGTACGACATACAGGTACAAAACCTTGTGCTCTCGGGACATAGCTGTGACTGGCACATACACTTTCGAGTGTCCAAGGGCACCATATTAAAAGTAAGTGATTGTATGTGACCTCCATTTTGACCTTTAACCTAATTCAAAGAAAAAAGTCTCGCAAGGGTACGCGTTATTGTCTCTTCGAATCAGAGGTATCCACTTACTCGTTCTGATTTCTGATATCACCTACTAAAATGAGTGATATTGCTGAATCAATTCTACGAATGCGATTAGGTAATGAAGCATCATGGATTGCACAATGTAATTTGATGTAATTTCATAGTAAAACGGGGCAACTCACCGGTTTACATCCAGTGGATGAATTTACAATAAAAACACGGAAACTTATTTAGGTCTGGAAATCGTTCTGTCTATAATTAGTGCTTTCTTGGCATATAATTTCGTATACGGCACGTTTTCTGAGAAAAGTCAACACTTATGTTATATCAATAGATTACGGAAACGTTGATTATCATTTTAAATGTGTAATGTGTTACGTTATTCAGACTTTAAAACAGCCTTTTGTCTTAATATTAGGAAACATTCCACCAGGCTCTTTGTAAAAGGAAGCTCTTCTTATGTTAGATTTGAAAAGGACAATTTAAAATAGTAAACATATCCGAAATTCAACAGTAAAACTGCCATTTTTTACAAAACATAGAAAACGTATGGACAATTCTTCCGCGTGTATCATTATGTTTCGATCAAGATAGAATGTTTATATATGTTACAATTTCCATCCCGATAATCGAGTCACGACTTGAGCTATATTTTTAGTATATTATATATCAGTAGACAAAGAAAGAATATATCTGGTAATGACATTTTATCAAAGATGGCAGACATGATGTACAAACATATTTACGACAAAAACAACATTATATTTTTAATACAGCCAAAAAGACGGAGCATAAAATATACCACAGGACCGCGATGTTGTCAATCAGCGGTCTAGCGCCATAAGATAGGCTGTTTATAAGTGGAGTAATTGCACGTTTTTTAAAAATGTTATTGTTTTGAGTTATGCACGCAACAAATTTTAAAATACCTAAAAACATTAATAATGTGTTTCTGTAATTTTGGTTATTCTGATTATTTTCAAAGTACAAAACATATTAATTTCCTCTTTTATGCAGCAAATGCGGGTTGTCGAATATACTTTTATGTTAATTTCATTATGCAATTGAAAATCATGTAGTCTCTTTTTGCTATTGAGTTTTATTTTGATTGATATATTAGGTGTAAATAAACATTGTGTAGTATTTTGTTCTGTATATTCTTTCTTTTATATTATAATTTGATCACTTTTATACACGTTGATTATGTGTACACTGTACTTGGCTCGGGTGCCCATTTAGCCCGTTATCTTTTGATAAATGAATTGCCCTGATCCGTGGCTACTGTTTGTCCGTGTGACATTGTTTAGGTTTTTATCCCTTAACTCAAGAGATGTTGTTTGATATACAGTCACTCCATGTTACAACACTGTCGGATTCTTTAAAGTATCCCTATCTATATCAAACACGGTCATTATTAACTTATCGCTTGTTCATTATTTTCCTCTCCATGTAATTAAATCAGGTTGGTCGGCTGCTTCAAAAGGATTGAAAAGGAAGTTCGGGTAGTTCAATTTAACGATGTCAAGTTAATTGTTAGAGTACCTTATGTTGATGATTCTGAATACAGGAGTTTGAAACTAAAGATTGGTCTTTATTCAAATTTCTTGCCGACCCACAATGACGCGAGTATTGTTGTTGATGCCTGTCGCTACACCTTGAGGGCCATTTACCGGAACTCTGAACTTGCAATAATGCTCCATGAGGACATTCCACACTAAAATTCCTTATGGCGGTTGTGAAGTGTTAAGCTACTGTACACAGCAAACAATAAGCATTTGATCAAACATCTCCTACCCTGATTTATAAAGTCTAATGACCCAGAGAGGCCAATTCTTCTTTGTAGATCAGTTAGCAGTTTTGCTTCCCGAACATTTGAAACTTCATAAAAGGCAATGTCATCAATACGACTAAACACAACCTTACTACTAAAACATGTATGTTTTGAATGCAAAAGGGTTGCTATAAACGTTGATTAAGAAACAAACGCTAAATTATTATTATTGAAGTAATTACATAAAACAGCATACTCTAGAACACTCATTGACTGTAATTTCCAGTATTGTTTATCATATTTCAATTTACAGGTTAAACTTAAAGCCGCTGAAACCGTGCTTCATGACTTGAATGTAATTATGGAAAGGTTCGATGCAGTGTCAAAGAATTTGGAAAGGGAAAGCAAGCAAATATGGTTTGAAATGTGTCCTAAATGCAAGGTCAATGCAAACAAACCTGGGCTGTCAGAGTATGGAAATTCAGAATGCAAAACAGACAAACGTACGGATGCATATGGTTGGTTTGAAATTGGAAAAGGCAGAGCTCCATACGGAAATGAGGCAACAGCATCGGAACAACAAGTCAGTTTCAAAGGAGATTTGGAAAAAGGTATGCTCAAAGGATTGTACAAAAGACACAAAAGTACATCTCATAACCGATGCTTTTTAGAATTCTTGTTGGTTCATTAATTACTTGAGTTAACATGATGGTGTCGTCGATGAAACAGAAGATGCTTACTCTTCTTGAACGCCTTATTTTCCTGGTCCTTTTTCAGAAATCTCTTTTATTTGCATAGTTTGTGTTAGTTTTATTTGAATTTGCATTATGATAATGTTCACATATCAGCATTTTCCTGGAGTTTATTTTCTCTTTTTTACGAATTTGAAAGAGAGGACCGCAATTTTTCATCATACTATATCAAAAAATGTTTTGAAACCGTCAATGTAAACGCATTTACACTTAATCAGACATAGACTGTTCTTAAAATGATAACTAACCCCTAATGCGTAAAACTGCATTATTGAAGATGATGAAATGTCAGGATTAAAACAAATTCTAAACATTGTTGATATGTTCATGTACGTTGGTTATAATACTTTCTTTACAACACATAATGCAACATCAATCAGAAATTTCATTAAATGTTGAAAAACACAACAATACACGGCCTTCTATGTTAAACAAAATTTGTTTACAAAAAAGTCAAAATCATTCGCAATTTTACTAAATTGGATTACAATGACTTCTCCAGGTGTGGATGAAGTGACAGAAGAATTAGAACAAAGCTTCAAAAAGCTTCCTGAAGAAACTCAAGAATTGGAAAATCAAATCGGTACGTAAAGAAACAAAATCTCATGTATGGCCTGTCGTGTGAATACATTTTTATGGAGCGTTTATGGTTATTGGTGCTACCTCTCAGGTTTTACAAGAATCCGTTAATTGAAATTTATAATGTGTATGGTGTATGTTAAATCGTGTTTGAAATTTATGATTTTAATGTTGTCACATAAATACATAGATCTTATGTCATATTCTTTATATCAGTTTACTACTACCTCTACTATTTTGTATTCGATTCCTAGAGATAGAAATTAAAGGAATGAATAACTGATATATATATATTTATATTTACACGTGATCATTTCAGTTCCATGAAAGTAAATCTCAGTATCCTATGTTTCTTCTGTAACATCCTTGTTTTAAATGTGTCTTCTAATTAATCATTTATAGAAATTAGTTTTCTGAAAATAATTAACATGGCTATGCTTACGTGTTGTCAGCATATTGGTTATCTCCTCTTTCATGTATTATTCTATCTCACTACTGTTTAATATGAACCTTCTTAGCAACGTTGTGATAAGTCTTCAATAATATTTGGTTATTAAATTGATAAAACCCTTATGCATTAATCCTAGGATCCAAAATCTCAATACCAATGTTATATATCCCCGATAAAGTTTCACAAAGAATCGTGTCCATTGTTTTCCCACACCGACGCCACCAAATCTCTGGTTCGACCAATTTCTTTCAATAAGACAATAAAGTCGTAGTAGTTATACGAGAAGTGTAGGGATGGCATATCAATGTTGTGTTGCCCATTGTAGAAACCATAGCCATATCACCATTGATCCAAGATACAAGAACAAATAAGTACACGCGATGGACATTAAGTTTAAGAAATAATAGTATGACGTCATGACATCACCCAAATGAGTAAAACATATAAAGTTATATTCAATCTTTAAGATATTTGTTATTTTAAATACAGAGGAGAGAGACAGAGAAATTAGGCAGCTGAAAACAAAAATTGAAACCTTCAAAAAAGAACTAGAAACTCTCCAAACAGAACGAAAACGCCATCAGACAGAAAATGAAAAAATGAAAATAAAACTGGAAGAAAAGGGTAAGTACATTCCTGAAACCTGGTTAAACAGGACACGAAATGTATTCATTAGATACAAATCTTTTTATAACTTCGTGTTATGTTTATGTCGTCTTTTTCTCCATTCTTATCGAGATTACGAGTGTTTTAATTCTAAACTCTTTATGTCTTTCAGTTTTCAAACTAGTTGAACTCATATGAAAGAAGTAACGATGTCTTTCCAAATATACACAAAACAAACACCCTGCTTATGGTCTTTTACCGACTACTTTGTTCATTCTTGTGACGTATCTGATGAGTGTTATTTTATAACATAAAGTAGGGCTACAAATAATTAACATAGTAAGGTTCACGCTTCTTCAAACCATTTAAGATCACAAGTTCATTTTTACCGAACATAATTTGACATTATTTACAATATGAGTGTCAGTAATCAAATTTCATTATCTGTTATCATTATTGATTGTATCAAGTATTTGACATATTCATGTAAATTCAACAAAGTGCGGTGCTTAAAAACGTGATTTAATTATTAAGTCACTACTGTCGCTGTCATTTCTACCATCATGTGTTCGTGTTTTCAAATGAACTTACCTCTTTTTCAAAAACTATCACGCTACGTTATCAAAGAAGTGGTCAAACTGGACATTGAAAAACGACTGTGAATATCGGAATAACAGAGAAACGAACAACTTAACAAAACATAATGGTTTTACTGTGCTGTCTCTTTAAGGAGTGGTTATTAAGAAAGCTTTATAATGAATTACATGTTCTTCAGCTGAGGCAAAGTTTGTTAAATCTCAACCTTAACCTCAGATTGTGAGGTATGTAAAGGCTCGGAACTCCTTAAAAACTTATATAAACTAGAAGAACTCCCCCATATCATTGTTACCACAACTAATGATAAGTATTTCTGGGATTTATAACGATTATATTTAACAATTATCGGAACACCGAGCCGACAGACGTTATTTTTAATTTTTGCTGCTGGTTATGTTCGGTATGTGTAGGGTAGTGACTGACACCAAACCTTACGTTTTTTTTTTTTTTTTTATCAAACTCTTCAATTTTGAAGAAAAAATACAATAGTCGATTTGTGGCACAATTTTGTATTTCTAGTGAGTTGATCCTGCATTGAAATACATTGAATTACCTATTCTAATGATTCCAATATATACTAAGATTGAAAAAAGCAACTTCAACTTTTTCAGCATTTTGATAAAATAATATTTTTGAGCAATATTCCAAAATATGAAAAGCAAAAGTTAACGCCGAATTCGTCTTCACATTTTTTTCGTTTTTTAAAAAATGATGCATGGATTTGGGTATCCAAATTTACAAAGTGAAAATAACAGCAGTTGCCAGACCGATCCATAATATCGCGCCTTCTGCGAACAGCTACAGCGTCTCCAATTCTGCGTTGAATGGAGTTCATAATGACATTGAATGTTCGTATAGGAATATCATACCATTCCTCGGTAAGTGAATTGGCAAATTGGCGGAGGTTATTTGAGATGTTTGTTCGAATCCGAATTCTTCTGTCTAATGTATTAGAAAAGTGTTCGATTGTGGACACGCCGGTGTTTTGTGGAAGCCAGTCAACAGGGACGATATTCTTGGTTGAAAGAAAGTCCTTACAGATTCTTACAACGTGTGACCTAGCGTTTTCATACTGAAAGGTAAAATGACAGGCACAACATGATGGCTTAGGATCTCATCTCAATAGCGCACAGCCGTTAAATTCCCGTCAAGGATCGCTAAAGAGCCTTCAAACAATTGGAAATTCTTCTCCAAATCATTACCAATCCACCTCCACATCTTTCGTACTTAAAACGCAAGCGTCTGCAAGGCGCTCTCCTTGATGTCTGTTCACTATTGACGGCATCTGATCAAAATAACGTGAATTGAGATTCATCCGTTAAGATCATAGATCTCCGACGTCTCATAAGAAAACGTCTTGGCATATGTGCCGCCAAACATTGCATACGACTTTCTTATTTCCTCTAGCAGTCTGTTTCTCACAGTGTTTAGGTTTATTCAACAGTTTCCATTACCAATGGCATTTCGTGCCGTTTAGGCTGTCGTTATTCTCCTGTCGCGCAAGTGGGCAAGCCTAATGAACCGATCATGACGTCGCGACGTTATACACAGACATCCGGATCTTGGTCTATCATCAACCAATTCCACGGCGTCGAGACGCTTGATCAATTTGTGAACTCCGAAGTGAGTAGTGTCCTCCTTTTGAGTGTTACCTCCCATGAACATTGCAGGAGGCGTTCTTCTAGACGTGGTTTTTATGTGTTTGCAAACCCAATTATTGACTGCAACTGCATTGGCGATTACGTATCTTGGTGATATTGCACTATTTTTATATCTCATTGAATGTAAGGAATTATGATATTGCTTGTGTCTAAATCTCCAAATTCGGAAAAAAGAGAGCGAATGCTTTTTAAACGTACTTTATTGAAAAGTTGAATATTACTGTCAGTGGCAATATTGTTATTCTAAAGATGGAAAAATCTACTCCCTCGAAGAAAAGTTAGCAATGAAAGAGCAGGCGTTACAAAAATCGCAAGAAATGCAAGAGAAAGGAGGAATCGCAAAGGGTAGGCTATGGAACTTACTTTCATCGATGCCTTAGGTACAGGGATAATCTTGGTGTTTTGAAAGCATGACATACCTTTTTTCTGGTGACATTCGGCTAATGATTTCATACGCAAATGCCACCTAATTTGTTTTAGTCACATGGTAGTCCAATTTGTCTTATAGTCAATGAGAATGTAAATGGTCGATGGTAATTCGGTTTATTTACAGACGAAATGGAATCTCATTAATGAGTAACATTAATTCATCTTGCATCAACATTTCTTAACACAAAGTAATGTAGTTTGATGTTGTTTTATAGAAACAAATGATTACATTTCTACGTCAGTGATTCAACAAACATCTTCGATATTCAATCACGAGAATTTCCAAGAGACTGTTAAGAAATTAGACAATATGCAACAATCATTGCGTAAGTAGAATTGTATTTACAACCTTATTGCTGTTGAATGAAAAAGGTCAAATGAAAAACCTGGTACGGACAATATAGGTTAATGTTAAAATGTTTCAATTTTTGGGCACCTCTTTCAAACTAATATAAATGTGTTTAGAATTTGCAAAATGTCGTTACAGGCAGTCATTCATGCCAATTGGGGACTTACATCGACCTGTCGTTGTTAAGCATATTTCTCGCAGGACATTATTGTAACTTCAGCTGCTTTTATAATGCAAAACATGAGTTTTCTGTGTTATGCAAGTTGTGGAGTTGTCTTAGCGGAGATGTTATAATAATATTCTAGTTAAAGCTCTTACAAATTTAGTCTTTTGTATTTTCTGCTTAATAAGATAAAGGTTTAAGGGATTGAGAGGGAAATAATGATAAAGCAGTCTACATATATATGATGTATATAGTTTATTTTGCATAAGGTTTTAAAATAATAAAAAAAATGATAAAAAAATTGTAATATAGCACGATAACAATGTTTACAATGACCAAGGAATCCTGATTTATCCTTTCCAAATTTCTGACCCGACAACATGCTGGAGAACAGCCCTAAATTGGTTTGCAGAGTGCATTATCGGATTAAATTGTTTTTTCTATATATGATACCAATTGTCATGTAAATGATTAATTCATTATAACTACAATTTTGATAATGACATGTAAAAGTAAAATCAATACAGATCATACCAGTGGTGGCCAAGATTGTAAAGACCTTCTGTTGGAATTGCATAAAGTTATGCCTTTTTCGCTACAACACTGAATTTATTTGGGTTTTTTTTATCCATAAACACTAGCAAACACGTTTTATTTGTCCTATACTTTATGTGGTTTATATATGTACTTTGGGCTCGACTAAGGTACAGGAAATACAACAAATTTTGCTGTAATTGATTAAACTGTAGTTCACCTTTCATGCTTTAACGATATTGTCTGTAAACTGTGTTCTTTTATTAAAGCATCAATTTGATCAACCTTAATGTATTTGTATTTTTAAGTTGCAAATCAGGAACATCAACTGACACAGGAGCTGGAAAGAATGAAAGATGCTAATCAGGCACTACAAGACGAAAAGAGGGAGCTAACAAAGACTAATAGTGATCTTGATCAATGCCTTCGTAAGTGAAAAAAAGTGTTATATAGAAACAAAAAGGCTGTATGACTGTCAGGGAATCGACAACTTGACTAGACCGATAATTCGTTTGGGTGATTTTTTTTTACCAAGGTGTATTATTTAATCACCTGTTGCACAATATAAGACGTGCGCTTAATAACACTATTGTAACGTCATGGATAAATGGCGATAGTAAAACATCAGTGTCATCTGATTCCAATTTAAACTCACCTACAGGGATCCGGGAATTTTCCTATCCAAACGATGCGTCTTCAGGTAGATTTAATGTTGCTTTCATGGCGAAGTCGTATTGAATACACGATTTCAATTAATTAAATATCTTATAAGAGTCCAATGAATTATAGATGTATCGAACTTTTGATGCATATGTTATGGCATAACCACGAGTGTAAAAATCAATTGGCCTGATTCATATTTTTTCAGCAATTAATCTTAATTGGATATATTGTATTCACTTTGCCATTTAACACTTTTTAAGCCCGTGGATTATATCGTATTTTTCTTCAGAGCTAACATCAAAATGTAAATTAGTTAAAAACAATATAAAAGAAGTCTGATTAATTTATGACAATTGTAGAAAAGATTTTAAAACACTATCCAACTCCAAACAGGCCACAATAATAATGCGTCACTTTGTAAACTTGTGTTTTGCGGAAGATTATGTACGTCAATTATGACTTCTTCATGCGTAACTTTCTTTTAAAAATAAGCCTGAATAGCCCTTGAAGAGGTGAAAGCACAAGTAAGGGCGTTTATTTTGCTTTTTTATTTACATATATGTACATTCTCGTTAACTTTATCAACATGTAGGTCAGCTTTACGTAAACCAAGTGAAATGTCTGCAACCAGAAGGTTAAATTATTTCAGTTGTTGATGCCCGAAATGCTGTTGCCAGACGCTTATCTATAAGACTGCCTCGGAACACCATTAACATCTTTCATGTATTGAGACGTTTGCGATAGTCTTGCAACACATGGACCAGCCAAGATTCAGTCGTACACATGTGACCTTATTATTACATCCGAGTTGTAGACTCGAGTAACCGCATCCAAACTGTCACGTGTCAATCCAGTAACTGGTCGAACATCAGAAAAAAATAATACGACTGACAGTTGGCCATCTTGTTTTTTCACAGCCATAATCATTAACGTCATTTCTAGAGAAGTCCTAATTGAATCATTCTGAAGCTTCATATGGTGGTTTCTCTAGTTGTGCATAGTATGTTTTAGGACTGAGAAAAAACAAACTGGCTGAGAGATGGCCACCTTGGTTTTTGATAGTCATGGTTCTCAAATTATATATATATTATATATATATATAGTTTCCTCAGTGCATTGAATTCCATTACCAATTTTAGGAATGATCGGAAAAAAAGAAATGACTGAGAGGCGGCCATCTTGGATTTTGATGATCAAAGTTTTTTTGTCCAGTGCATTGAATTGAGAAGTAGCCATTGCATCCTTAGTTGTGCTCCTTTGATTTTGGGGATGATAAAAAGGTGACTGACAGGCGGTAATTATTGATTTTGACAAATATTGTTTCAGTTGTAGGATCGCACACTATAACACAATGTGCGCACAATATTTGAACGATGTATGCACGATGTGTACAGTCAAAAAAAATTGAAATGGCACATCCGTACAAACGAGGTGCGACTCTATAGCACAGCTGTGCAACTCTGCCGAGGAGTTTATAAATCCATACCTTTATGGCTTAGACACTTTAATATCTAACAAGTACAGACCAAATAGCTTTGTACACTCGTAAGAGTGGTTTGTATACAAAGGAGACCAGTTCTAGTGTACAGACACTCATTACATAATAATCATACTTGTAAACATTAGATAACTTTTTCACAGCAATCCCTAAATTTTACACGATCAGACAGATTTTTTTATTTACATTTAGCATGTACTACTTCATTTTTGCATCGTTCTGTGAAGAAAAAAAATATATACTGAAATGAACATGAAGTGTTATATTTGTTTTACCGGAAGCCTAGCCATTATAACCATATATACCCGTAATGACCTATATAGTCATCGATCGATCCTATATCGATAAAATGAATTATAGTTTGTCGATCTTGCTGACTTTCCAGATGTCTTTAGGCTTCTATATCAGCACAATATTGCTGATAAATAAGCCCTGATATTTTGTCATATTATTTATCTTCCAAAGTTCCGTTAATAGGTGAGACAAAAACATTACTCGATCTTTTATAGTCAAACAGCTCGAATATAGCATTCTCATTTATTTCGGTTGTTCGAATGAATTAACGAATTTCCGATCATTAGAAAACGTTATTTTCCACGTCGTTATGAAAAAATCTGATAAATTGAGAAACATTGCTTGCAAGTGTAGATAGCTTGTCTAAAAGTTGTTTTATATTAAAATCAGAGCCAATGTAATTTGTATCGTCGTTATTTTAATCCTAACAATACAGTTTGAGCAAGTTTTACTATGCTTAGTCAGATTCTTAGCAAAAAGCTACTGGCTTTTAATTCTTGAAATGACACTTTCTATTGATCGATAGAATTATTAATCAAGAATCTTCACAGCAACCATCCCTCCTCCTCCTCAACTACAATTTCCTTTTCATGCGATTTTGTTCAAGCTATCAGTTATATCCTTAAGTTTATAACTGTGTATTGGTTTTATCTTAATTATTTAGACATTGATTGTGATTAATTGATTTTCATTGGAATATGCAAATAAAATCATTTGTAGACTTTTAACTTTTGCAATAATTTTTTTTCCATAATTGATGATGTGACATACAAAAAGTAAATTATCAAATCAAAGAAGTTGTTTGCAGAATTCCTACAGTTGCCCACTTCAAAACACGTTTGTAACGCCTCATTTCATTAATAACTGAAGAGCATTTGATGTTTGCTTGAAAAGTACTAAAAATATTTACTAGATCTTAATCTTATGTACAATTCCATTGCTGACTGGTATCTCTAAATTGGAGGAAAACAAGAAACAAAAATAACATGAATGACGTCTATAACACGAACTCCCTCATTTTTACTATTACAGGCGCAAAAGACGCCGAAATCACCTCCCTGAAAGCAGAGAAAGGACCAATATCAATGGAAGTAGAAGCACTTCATGAAAAGTGGATGAAACTTGAACAACAGGTTACATGTTTACAAAAAACAATCGACGCATTGTCATCGACAAATGCGGTCTTACAGAGTCAAATTTGTGAGTTTTATTTCCGATTTCCAAAATAGAGATGTTCATTATAAAACATATTGTATGTCCTTTACATAAAAAGTAGAAGTAAAATGTTTAATTATTTTAGTTAACATATCTTTATTAGAATGATTAGATTGATGCTTTGATTTTTTTGTTGCCTGGTGACGCATGAGGCTAGCTAGCAGCTATTACGTATGTGTGCAAATATGTGACACCAACTGTACTGCAAGGTCAATAAAGGGTGCATTCAAGTGGCGGGATTTTTAAAATGATTAATGTAGATATCAGAGTTGAATGTCTGTTTTGTACGGACTGAAGAAGGGAAATGAACTTCACGCCGATGGTACCTGAACTCATTAAATGATGTCTTACTCATCTGTATAAGTTTTGTGATGGTGAAAAAATAAATTGTGAGGAAATGCAAATCTACTATTAGAATTGATCAAAACCGGAAGATAATCTTATGTTGTATCGCTTAAAATCATAAACAATACGTGTAACTTAGGAGATGAACTGTTTACAAACTTATGTTTCAGATTTTTTTCTGAAAGTTCATTTTTGCAATATTTTTCCTATCTTATAGTTGCTTGTAGAAGAATGGTATAGAGTAAACTGAAAATAAAACGAAAAAGATATTAAAAACTATTATCTAATACTAAGAACCGCCAAGCTGACAAGCTGGAAAATTGTGTTGAAATTGTGTAGGATTTAATCAGATAAGTGATACTTGTAGTATGTGAAATGAGTACTTTGGATCAGCATTACAATTTCGATGAAACAATTTCAAAAATATGCAGATCGAGCAGTTATATGGGGAAATAGTAATGTTACAATGATGATTTACGGACGTCGTTGATAAACCAGAAGCGAAGATTTGGCAGGAATCCACTATTCTAAAAATTATTTACCAGATTTGTTTTAATTAACAGGTTCAAAGGATGAAGAAGTGCGCGGTTTGAAAGCAGAAAATGACAGACTGAATGAAAAGATTTGTACACTCAAGGGAGATCGCAAAATGTTACACAAGGAACTGAAAGACGCAGAAAGTCAACTAGATGAGCTGGAACTCAAAAATAGAGATTTCCTAAAAGATATTGGTAAGATTAATTAATCAATTACTAAAAGACAATGTTTGTTGTCCCACCGATCAATCCGATACAACGTATATGCCGCCTAAGTAACATCATTGCCATTCATTTATGCTTTTAAAATTAATCCATAAATCAATCACCACACTAGGACAAAAGCCGAACATGCAATGAGATACTGAATTATTTCAAATCCTCTGTTCTATCACACATCTACATTCATTGTAGCAAAATCGTAAAAATGAAAACAAAAAATGAATTTCTGGTTTCCTTACTGTTCCTATTTCTTTGCTACAGACCCTATTTACGTAGCATTTTATTTTTCAACATTTAGGGGGAAAATGTTAGCCTGCTTGCGATACCAAGCTGCACTTTTACCTTTGGTCGAATTCACCTTAGACACTGGTTAAATATTCATACAGATCGATATAAAAACATCCAAGACACCTAAATGGACAGATAGTGGTCTCCATATCATCGTCAATTTGGTGTTGAAATGTATGAAATGTAAAAGCTGAGATTAGGTGTTCCAGTTAAGTAAACATCTCTTAAGCATTGTTTTAATATATTTCTGAATTGCTTTGACAGATATTGACGAAACTTCTATTGATTCATTTTTGTTTTCCATTTTGATAACATCTCATATCTAGGTTTCTGTACATGATTATCATACGAAATTACACGTTCATCCCCTCAAAGACGTTAGACTTCCTGTAAATAAGATTTCCCATGTTGACCCAGAGATTGTTCCTTATCTTAGCATCTCAATTGCTTTTTATAAAGAAATGATAAAGTATTTTCAACACACACGAAAACAGATATATTAAAAGTGATGGGTCGCTAATTTTATCATATTGAGAGAGTTCGTCAAGTTAACGCATTGGAATTAAAAAGATTTTTTAACTTTGAGAGTAGTTGGCTCAATGAGTATGTACATCCACTTAAGACTGACTTGATTAATCTACATTGAATCTTAAATCTGTACTCTGAGACAGTTTTGAGTGCACACACATCAATATTCGTCAGATTACATTTTGATATGATTTGAACACTTTTCCTATTTACAATGTATCTACCACAGTCAACTTATCGAATAAACGTAACGTATTGGAGCAAGGATAATCTCACAGTATAGGAATGCACTTAAAGTAATGAGGTAGGGTTATTCTTGTGATATACTGATCTAAGAATGGTAATGCGGTTGGGTCATTGTCATTATATACTTAGTGCTTAGTGGGTAGTACTTGTGTTTTTATGCATATACTGGTGATTAAATAATGAATTTTGTTTTCAACACAAGACGAAGTTCGTAGATAATACGATTAAAAAAACGTTCTTTATCTCAAATTATTTTAGAATGGGGATCGTATGGCTAGTTTTTATACATATTCTTGGGATTAAATGATAAATTTTAGTTTTAACACGAGCCTAAGAAATTCAACAAAAACAAAAAATATGCGCAATTTTGTTCGAAACGGTCCCTCACATGCTCTTACACAATTAGAAAGATCCTTTCAATCATTAGTGGCGTAAAAGTTCCACTTTCAAGTCAAGTTGTCGATCGGGTCAGGATGCTTCTCTGTGTGATTAGTTATATAGATTCAAATTCCTTGTGTACATACTCCTTATTCAGCATATTTATCTCTGATTTGCAATCTGGTATTTGTTCCTAATAATAAATCGATACAACACCAGAGATGGCGGGGAAGAGCCTTGGCAAGTGTCGGCGGAATCGTATTTCTCAACATTATTACAAAATGACATTACCGACAAACTCACTTGAAAGTGTAGAAAAGTGAATCAAAACTTGTCACTATAATTGCAGTATATCATACTCTCCACCTCACATTTCAATGAAAAAACTGATGATATCGTTATCATATATTTCTCCAATGCCCGATCTATTCTTAAATATATATGGATATTTGCATATCCAAGCGATGGTAGACAGGATGCCAGAGATCGTCGTCATTTTCATCTGGAAAACACAATACATGAGGACAAATCTGATATTAAAAAACGGAATGATCCCACTCAGATGTGAAATTCTTCGAACTGTCTTGCGTTTTGTGATAGTTGGGGAGAGATGTAGAGATGAACAAGGAATCAATGATTCAATGAATGAGTAAACTGCATCGTTGGTTATGCCCTCTTATAAGGTCACATCTTGTCCAAAAGTAGTACTTGGCTAATTCGCTTTGTTAGATAGGTGAAATTGAGGTTTCAGTATAAACCTCAGGATACCTTTTAACTTAGGGTGAGCTGTATTTCCTCGTTTTCGTTCTCCGTTATTACACTGGGAGCAGTCGTAACTATTTTTCCTTTTGGCCGATATTATGCCAAGTTTAATTTGAGTTAAGCTCTTTCCATTCTCTCAAGTTTCATAGTCATCGTGTTTAATATTTATAAAACAAATTTACTATATTATCCTTTAAAACATTATACATTTCATTTCACAGAAGAAAAGAAACTGAATCTGAGGAAGCAGGAGAAAAAAATCGAACACTTGACCAGTAATATTCAGGCACTTGAGAACGAAAAGAAACAACTCGAATCAAAACTGGGCGAATTTGAGGTTGAAAAAGAACGTTTGACAGACAATATTCAAACACTTGAGAACGAAAAGAAACGACTCGAATCAAAACTGGACGAATTTGAGGTTGAAAAAGAACGTTTGACAGACAATATTCAAACACTTGAGAACGAAAAGAAACGACTCGAATCAAAACTGGACGAATTTGAGGTTGAAAAAGAACGTTTGACAGACAATATTCAAACACTTGAGAACGAAAAGAAACGACTCGAATCAAAACTGGACGAATTTGAGGTTGAAAAAGAACGTTTGACAGACAATATTCAAACACTTGAGAACGAAAAGAAACGACTCGAATCAAAACTGGGCGAATTTGAGGTTGAAAAAGAACGTTTGACAGACAATATTCAAACACTTGAGAACGAAAAGAAACGACTCGAATCAAAACTGGACGAATTTGAGGTTGAAAAAGAACGTTTGACAGACAATATTCAAACACTTGAGAACGAAAAGAAACGACTCGAATCAAAACTGGACGAATTTGAGGTTGAAAAAGAACGTTTGACAGACAATATTCAAACACTTGAGAACGAAAAGAAACGACTCGAATCAAATCTGAGGAAGCAAGAAGAGACTGAAGATCGTTTGACAAGAAACGCCAACACACTTCAAGGAGAAAATAAACAACTGTCGTTAAATTTGAAAAACCTCGAAGAAGAAAAAGATAATTTGATAGAAAATGTTATTACACTTGAAAAAGAGAGGGCATGGCTGACATCAGACCTTAATAAGAACGCGAAAGATAAAGAAGAACTGAAAAGAAATGTTGACAAACTTGACGAAGAAAAGAAACATTTGACATTAGATTTGAAGAAGGAAAAAGAAGAAAACAAATATTTGACTTCAAATTATCAGATACTTGAGAATGAAAAGACACAAATTGTATCGAATCTACGGAAACATCTGGATGAAATAGAACATTTAACAAGAAATGAGAGGACACTTGAGGGAGAAAAGAAACAACTAAGACAGAATCTAAAGAATGAAGAAATAAGAAGAGAAACTTTGCGAAAAACTGTCCAAGAACTTCAGGAAAACGAAAAACAGCTGTCATCAAAACTGCAGGAAAAGGTACAAAACATAGAAAGTTTGGAGAGAAGTGTAGAAATTTTTGCAAAGGAAAAAAACCAACTGACATTAGAATTGAAGAAACAAGAAATGGAAAATGAACATTTGACTGGAAAAAATCATACCCTTGAAGAAGAAATTACTTCGACGCTTAGAAAATTTAAGGATGAAAAAGAAAGTGCAGCTAGAAATATTCAGAAATACGAGGAAGATAAGAAAACACTGACATCGTATCTGAGGGACCAAGAGGAAGAAACAAAATGTTTAACAAGAAATGTTGAGGCACTTCAGAGAGAAAAGAACCAACTCACATTAGATTTTAAAAAAGAAAAGGAAAAAAGAGAAAATTTGAGAAAAATGTTTCAAATACTTCAGGAAGAACAGAAACAAATGACATTAAAATTGAGGAAACAGGAGGACGAAAAAGACGATTTGACAACACGTGTTCTGGAACTTGAAACAGATATAAAAACAAATGCAAAATGTTTTGAGCAGAAGGAAAGTCATCTCAATAAACAGATAACTGATCTTTCATCCAACATTGGAGTCTTAAAGCATGAAAATAGTAAGTATTACTATCTTCTGATCTGATATTTTTATTATCCAATTTAGAGTTCACGTACATGTATATGTGTATATTCTGAATCATGCCACTATCTAATATATATATATATATATATATATATATATCGGTCAATCAGGGGGTGACACGTGTTTCAGTATAAAGACATACACAGACAAGATTATTTCAATAAGCCTATGATCAGGGTGAATTATATAGGAGTCGAAAGCTTTTGAGAAAGGGCAAAAAATAACTTTAGCCAATATCACAACTTCATTTCCCTTATTGAACAATTGATTAATTAAATGCAAATTGAGACATTGACAGATTTAGCGTGTAGGTGCATCATAACAGCATCTTCACTTTTGCAACTTAAGCTGTCGTCTACTAATTCACGGTATGTTAAGGGAGAACGCAACAGGTCTGCTTATTACACCTTCCTATGAAAAGGGATGTTCCAGTTTCAGTCCTTTACTGTTTTTTAATTGTAGAAGCATCGTCAGAGTAAAAACGTACGCTTTCCCTGCATGAATTTGAATATTCATTTATATACACTTGTAAGTATTCCAACTATTACTACATCTTGATATGAAATGTCATCGTTATCAATGCAATAACATGTGTACATATTCATTGTCTTAAGGTGAAAAAGAAAAGGAAATCCAAGAAATGAAGATTGAAATCAAAGAATTACGGACTCCGAAAAAGAAATCCATAGGTAGGTAATTAAAATCATGAACACCGCGCAGGTTTACACACTTCACAAACATTGCTTTATTCTAGTGTTTTGCGTCGTTAATTACCAATTTCCACTTGTTCATTGCTTGTTTATGTATTCAAGGTATTGTCAGTATTTTAAATTGATTATAATTTTCAAATTGGGACGAAAACTTGTCTGTTAGATAAAACATTGACTTTGTCCATAAAGGCAATGTAAATTCACATTGAAAATATGATTATGACGAAGTTATGCTATATCTCGTTACCTGATGAAATGTTGGCGTGGATGATTCGTTCTTCTTTCCTCAAATGCTTCTCTTTACAGTGTTAGGAATACGATACGGTAATTCTATTGGAAAGACACTGGTGGACATGGTGACGAGGGAACTCACAAAACGTTTAGAACAGATAATTGACTCGACAAAATTCACCCTGGCATTTAAAGTTTGCAGTAAAGCATCAGAAACTCCGAAAGGTCCCCTGGTGGTTTTATGCTTGAACATATCAAGGGTTGGAACAAACATACAAGATGCGCTGGTGGGAATCGAATGTAAGTTGAATCATACCGAAATACTTTTGTGTACCCGTCATCGTAAAATAAGATTATCTGGTCACACAGAAAGTAAGACAGAGATACAAGAAGAACAATGATATAAAAGAAAATAGATTTTTTCCGGTTTAACAATCTACACAACATAAGGAATGAGCAAAATTATAGATACCTGTAAATTGTATTTGGCAATAACTGTTACAATAAATACACATTTCAAAGTCATTTAAGATATTATGAAGATCTAAGCAAACAATATGTTGCGGTTCTAGTTGAAGACAATATTATCATCGATAGATAGATAAATAGATAGATAGATAGATAGATAGATAGATAGATAGATAGATAGATAGATAGATAGATAGATAGGGGTGCTCATGCATTGTCTGTAACGTCATTTATTTTACAATTCTTCTCATAGAGTATATATTAGTATATACTTAATGAAGAATTTGCTATAAATTCCTCAGCTAACAGTGACGTCACAGTCCTGGTGCTCCACCATACAAATAAGGAGAATCTGTCATCTTTAACACCTACAAGTCACCGTGTTACTGGGAAGGAATTCAGAAAACTCGGTGCTATCTTGGACATGGCTTTCAGTAGCGACGGCGGGTTGTATGAATGTGACCTGAATACAACAACAGTTGACAAAATGGCAACAATTCTAAAGAGATGCTAACAACATGTTTCGTGAAGGTAAATGGGGACTTTTCGTGAGCCTTTTTTATTCAGTTTATCATGTGCTTATTTATTCGTGATCTGACTATTGATAAATACACTTACAGTGTAAAGAGCCTTCGGTGTACGTCATTTTGTGTATGTAGAATATGTTACATCTGAAGTGTCACGTGTTTGGAATCACTTTTAACATTGGTCGAATGATCATTTTTAAATGATATGACCACGTGGGTTTTCCGCGGGTACTCCGGTTTCCTCCCACAATAAGACCCCTCGCGCGCTTACATCCGGGCCAACAAGAGTGATTAGTATAAGTTGACATAACTTGTTTCGCAATTGTTGTAAAACAAATAAAGTTTATAAATGATATGTTACAACTTCAATAAGAGTCATATCATGTGCATTGTGATGGCATTTAGTGAGTAAAAGTTACATATAAATCCGTTTATTGTAGCGACATATTAATCCATGAGCATTCAAGTAATTATTAGTAACTGTATACAGTGTGGAAATAAGAAACTAGCTTTTCAACCATGCATAATATTATGATGATGTTTAAATACATAGTATTACATGCTTTGCTTGTCATAGAGAATTATGTATAGAATTGATATTATACAAAAAATTATTTAAATACATGAACTTCCTTTAAGATAGGATGAAGTTTTACACTTTTAATTCCTTGCTGTCATTGTCAATCCACGTTTCATTTCTATTTTATTGAGTTTTATGTTCTGAATAAAACAGGAAAATTATAAATAAATATGTGATTATGCTATTCACTGATTGTGAAAATTGAAAACATAGATATCTAGTGACAACATCATTTAAGCGATGGTGTCTAACATAGTCTTTCAACAAAATGTTCATTCCCGGCTTCAAATAATTTATGCGGGAACGATAAGGTCAAGGCAAGGTTGTGATATTGTGATATTGCCTATAACTATTTTTTATCTAAATACATTATTTTCACAATTAAAATGCGTTTTATCTACAAGGTATAGCTCACGCATTTTTTGTAACACCTCGAAGGTTTGATTTTGTTTTTATGTGTGTGTCTTTCATTGAAGTTTTTTTCGTGATGTTTTTGACAGGTAAAACAATAATACTACCACTAGGTGGTGAAGTAATGATTAAATCACCAGCGTTGGACTTCAAACCTGCCTCCAAACAGGGTGATAGATTTAATTTTAATATAGTGTGAACATCTTACAAGGCTGGTCTCTACATATAAATACATTAAATTGGCTAATAACTTTCAATAACCCAAGGACACAACGTTATCAAGATAAAACTAATTATTTTTACATTTTCCCTGTATGTATACGTTGTATCTATTTTGCACCTAGGTATATTTGATTGTTTTGTTTATAACATGAAAACATTTTTATTATATCACATCATTATGTCGTCATATTTTAACATTACATATAATTTCAATAATTTATTATTTCATTAATATTATTGTATCCATTTACATTTCGAAATTTTTAAAATCATTGTTCGATACCTTTCGGGGTTTTAGCTCAGAAATGTAATCAATGTTCTTTTAGTACACCTCATAGCTATCTTAATTTAAGCTATTTTTTTCGCAGCGGTAAAGTCTTTTTGTTCCTGGAAATCATTTCACTACTTATGAACTCCTTCATGAAATAAAACAATGAAATATCTTAACTTTAATTACACGCATTTGTTAAAACATTGTTCGAAATTTGTATTCATTAATACATTACTATCCATCCTATTATCTATTTTTTTTAAAACACATTTTGAATGAAACAAACTTATATACTTCGTCACTCAATATTATGTATCATGTGACTAGTGACAAACACTGCTGTAGAAACAATACGCGTTTCAGTAATATTTTACCTTGTGCTATGCATTGATTGTTGTTAGAATCTCTATACACACCTTTATGGTAAAACGCTGTTGGTTTTTTTCTTTCAATTTTATGGATTTTGTATTCGTATATTAACATTTTAAAGCTATTACTCTCCCAAAACGAAAAATCAAAACGAAGTTTAATAGTATATATGATTTTGATTAAATGTTACATTTTTATTAATTAACATAATTTCTATTTACTGCTAAATATTGACTTTGTCAAGGTAATTAGTATGAAATGTCTGTTTGATCCACGATCTGTTACCAAATGATCTGTTTATTTTGAATCAGAGTACTTTTTGGTCATTTATTTTATTCGTTAATAAATGATTTTCAAGAATTTTCTGGACGTTGATTACTGTGCGGTATCAAATTAAATTAAAGTGAACGTTCCCACTTTCGCAGCATGTATGTATATTCCTCTTTCGAACAGTTTTTTCTGCTTTTTCTTTCTCTTTTTTAAATAAACCAGCAGAAGATATTTTTAACTTTTTGTTTTGTTCAGTTGACATAATATTTAAGATTATTAACTATTGTTTAAGTTCAGCTTTAGTATTGTGATGCAACTGTGTTTAAAACAAATGATTTACTTCAAGTTTTTACATAATCTGTACGTAACGCAACATTTTCAGCACTCTATTGGCTTCATTATGTGAGAGCTTGGGTAAAAAGCACACACTTAAATTGGAATACTACATTGCGTTTTCAGGGAGCTAGGGTCAAGGTCATGGCCATCTTTACTATTTTTAAAAAAAGTATTATCAGTACTGATGCAGTCATTCCTTGGGGGATTTTAATCTAATTCCAGACACACCATAAAGACCATTACATCTCAGACCAGTTTGAATTTCGAGGATATGGTCAAGGTCAAGGTCACTGTTATTATTAAAAAAAACATATTGTCAACAATGTCGTTACTTCGGACATTACTTTACACACTAATGAAATACCATTTTATCTTGGGCAGGGTTAAGGTCAGTGTCACTGTTACTATTTTTAGAAATTCCTTGTCACTACTCTAGTAGAGATTTTTATCAAATCATAAAAACATATACATTTTCTAGCATTTTTTATGGCACATCACTCATTGTTTAATCGCGTTGGTATCTATATCGCATGCGATATCTTATTATATCAATATTTGTTTTGTTTGCTTTTTTTCCTGTTTATCTGGTCCCTGTCCATCTGGTCCCGGTTGATCAAAGGTTTCCTTGAATTAACCAGTGATTAGTGAAAACATTAATTGCTGCCACTAAGCAAATAAGAGCATTAAAGGCAAAATTAACCCACAATATATATCAATCTGACCTGTCTCAACAAATCTACAGCTGTGATGAAGAATCTTCACAAGATATATCAATATGACCTGTCTCAACAAATCTACAGCTGTGATGAAGAATCTTCACAAGATATATCAATATGACCTGTCTCAACAAATCTACAGCTGTGATGAAGAATCTTCACAAGATATATCAATCTGACATGTCTCAACAAATCTACAGCTGTGAAGAAGAATCTTCACAATTTTGTTTAATTCATGTTTGAAAAATTGTCATTAATTATTTGTTAACTCTAACCAGACTTTGAACAACCGGGGCCTGGTGTTTATACTTAAACTTATCAGTATAACTCATATATCATTGTTTGAAAAATGAACTAAAAAAGACTATGCTGATTTTGATTGTCAAGTTTGTAGATTGTTAATACCTGGATGTTTTTGTTAAATATTCTTCTAAATTTCAATGATAGCATTTTGTTGTGTAGACAAATTATGAAATGTGATGTAAAATGTAGTGTAATACTCACGACTAAAACGTTCACTCTTAAACAGTCTCCAGAGGTTATCTTCCGTGAATTTGTTTTACAGTGTATAAACAATCAGATGTTATTTATTAAGAATATATGTAAGCTTATATTTATATCTGCATTTTGTGACGAGATAAATGGTGAATGATGTGATAACGACGTCAGGTACATGCTAACCACCTAACCACCTACATGTTTGTTGTGTTGTCTCCATATTGTTTGTTGCTCTCTAACATGTATATTGTTCTTGCTTGTGTATCCTATGGTTTGTCTTTGATAAATAAATTCAGATATCAAATAACTAATCATTTTTGTGCTGAAACCGTCAATGTTGCTGCAAAAGATCTAAAAACTCTGAAATCTTTGAAATTTGAGTTTTGCTCTTACATTTGGCGATCACCTGGTCGTATTAAACCAAAATACACGATATCACATTTTTTGTCATACACTTTGTGTTGCAAATGTGCGAGAAACAAATTGGAAGTATAAAAAATCTTTACGAACCGAAACCCAAACCTGTCGGCAGTATTTTTTCTGATCAGACCCACAATCGTTACGGCACAACCAGGGACCAAGGGGAATTTACATATGAAATTTGAGAGAGTTCAAATGAGTACTTCTCAAGTACATGCAATGACAAACTTCGTTGAAAACATCCAAGATGGGCGCCTGTCGGCCATTTTTGTTTATCATACCCAAAATCACACCGGCACAGCCAGGGACGAAGGGGAAGGAACCTGCATATGAAATTTGAGAGATATCAATTGAGTACTTCTCAAGAAAATGCAATAACAATGCTTATAGAAAAAATCTAAGACTGTCGCCTGACAGTCATTTTGTTTTCTGATAAGTCTCAAACAGCAATAACAATTTTTCAATTCAAAATCAAAGATGGCTGCCTTTCAGCCATTTTGTTTTTCTATCAGTCCGAAAAGTTACCATACACAACTAGGGACAACGGGGAATCCACATAGGAAATTTGAGAGAGATCCATTGAGTAATTCTCAAGAAATAGCAATAACAATTATTGTTGACGGACGGACTGACGGACCACGGACCACAGACATAGGGTGATTTGAATAGCCCACCATCATCAGATATAATAGATCATGTTATGTAAAAAACATCTTTTCTGTCGAAATCATGTACCTTATTTAAGAAAAATAATCATGTATGTTCCCGCTAATACTGATAATTCTAACCAAGTTTGAAATTATGTATTTCTGAAAGAAAATAAACAAATTATGCTGTAAAATGTAATATTCCTATACTACACTATTGTAAAATTTACCCCCTCACCAAGCGGAGATGTGAGACCCTGGAGTCATGAAATTCACACTTTTGATAAAGCTCTGTAAGACACTTCTATCAATAAAGAGTATTTATTTCTACTTTATCTCGGAATTGAGAAAATTGTTCATATTTCAGTCAATTTGGCCCTTTTTGGCCCCACCGATCAGCCCCTAGGTGTCAGACGAGCTCAACATGTACATCTCATCATAATGTCTTCGTATACTAACAATTCTAACCAAGTTTGAACTATTTATGAAAGAAAATAAATAAATTATGCTAAACAAAGAGGCCTACGGACTTTAACGGTCAACTGACTATAAAGACCTATATATCTAAAGAGGCCAAATAGGCCTAAAATATCGCTCAACTACTCTACAGTTAACAAAAAAGACATTGTTGGTTTATAGAAATGTTTTTTATACACTCTTATTCTTAATATACACAAATGTCATTACTCCAGACTTCTTATTTATTTAAAAAGATGTTTAAATATCTCAACACATTTGACCCGAGAGACCTTGAATATAAGGTCATCTACTTATGTTAAAGAACCAACATCGACCATTTTATTATTGAGAAGTCTCGTGAAGGTTTTAATACATTTGACCCATGTGACCTTAAAAAGAGAAAAGGCCAATCACATGAACAAATTCGGTAACCCTTCATCCCAGCATGCTGTAGACCCAATATAAGCACCCAAAGCTTTTTTGTTATTTAGAAGAAGTTATTTATAGATGTTGACATATTTGACATGTGACCTTGAAAAATTGTCATATACACACTTGGTAGTCCGTCATCTCAGCACGCTACATGCCAAATATCAGCATTTAGGCCTTTAAGTCAATGAGAAAAAAAATTGTTTAAATACTTAAAGTGGGTCAAAGTCAACAATATGAACAAGATTAGTAGCTCTTCATTCCAAGATGCTACTGGCTCAATATCGGCATTTTGTTCGTTACGTTTATTGAGAAATAATTTAAACATATTTGACTCATGTGACCTTGAATGTGGGTCAAAGTCATTCATTTTAACGAACTTGGTACCCATCATCCGATCATACTTCATGCCCAATATCAGCACTCTAGGCTTTTTAGCTATTAAGGAGAAGTCGAAGATGTGATCTAAAAATTGTATTGAAATAAGTTTTACTATATATAACATTTGGGGATGTGATAGCTCTATTGGTAGGACAAAGGCAACATAACCACTGGTAAAGATTTCAGGTGTGAGGTTCAAAGCTCACTACCTGTGGCAGATTTTCTCTTGTATTTAAGAACTTATCTATTACTATGCTGACGAGATTGAGAATGGCATGTTATGTGTCTCATGTATGTTGTGCAGTGAAGTAGCAACAGTAGTTACAAGGAGACCCAAACTCAAAATGACATCAGCTGTTCATTTGGAAATAAACAAATAATCCAATGAACTAGTGGGGAAAATAAATCTCAACATCAAGTATTTGTTGTAGTCATTTATTACTCAATTAATAAAAACACAAAAGTAGACATGGTAAGAATTTATATCAATAAATGGAATGTTACACATAAAACTGTGTAAAAAATCTATAAAAAGGTGCTTGACAGCAAATCAAATAGATGAATCTAAACAATAACACATTCTGTACATGTAAAGAGCACCAATCTTTATTACAAGAATCAAAATGAAAGCGTATTTTTTTATGCAGATGGGTTTGGCACTTGTTCCTGCTTGATATCGTTTTAGAGATATGTCAATAGCTTTTGCCATCCTTCATCCCCACATTCATACTAAGATGGCTTTCTCCATACAATGCAATAGAAATTCACCTGATAATCACTCATTTCAACATCACACAGCTGTATAGAAAATGACCCTATATGTGTTTTGTTTACGCGAGACAACTGAATATAAAAGGACCCAATATTTGTTTTGTTCAACATGACACAACTGTACACAAAAAGACCCAATATTTGTTCTGATCAACACAATCAATTCTATACAAGATGACCCAATATTTGTTCTGTTCAACATGACACAATTTTATATAAAATTACCCAATATTTGTTTTGTTAAACATGAGACAATTTTGTATAAAAAGACCCAATGTTTGTTCAGTTCAACATGAGACAATTGTATATAAAATGACCCAACATTTGTTCTGTTCAACAGGAGACAATTTTATAAAAAATGACCCAACATTTGTTCTGTTCAACAGGAGACAATTTTATATAAAATGACCCAATATTTGTTCTGTTCAACATGAGACAATTGTATATAAAATGACCCAACATTTATTCTGTTCAACATGAGACAATTTTATAAAAAAATGACCCAATATTTGTTCTGTTCAACATGAGACAATTGTATATAAAATGACCCAATATTTGTTCTGTTCAACATGAGACAATTGTATATAAAATGACCCAATGTTTGTTCTGTTCAACACGATACATTTGTATATAAAATGACCCAATATTTGTTCTGTTCAACATGAGACAATTGTATATAAAATGACCCAATATTTGTTTTGATAAACATGAGACAATTGTATATAAAATGACCCAATATTTGTTTTGATAAACATGAGACAATTGTATACAAAATGACCCAATATTTGTTTTGATAAACATGAGACAATTGTATACAAAATGACCCAATATTTGTTTTGATAAACATGAGACAATTGAATACAAAATGACCCAATATTTGTTTTGATAAACATGAGACAATTGTATACAAAATGACCCAATATTTGTTCTGTTCAACATGAGACAATTGTATATAAAATGACCCAATATTTGTTCTGTTCAACATGAGACAATTGTATATAAAATGACCCAATATTTGTTCTGTTCAACATGAGACAATTGTATATAAAATGACCCAACATTTATTCTGTTCAACATGAGACAATTTTATAAAAAAATGACCCAATATTTGTTCTGTTCAACATGAGACAATTGTATATAAAATGACCCAATATTTGTTCTGTTCAACATGAGACAATTGTATATAAAATGACCCAATGTTTGTTCTGTTCAACACGATACATTTGTATATAAAATGACCCAATATTTGTTCTGTTCAACATGAGACAATTGTATATAAAATGACCCAATATTTGTTTTGATAAACATGAGACAATTGTATATAAAATGACCCAATATTTGTTTTGATAAACATGAGACAATTGTATACAAAATGACCCAATATTTGTTTTGATAAACAAACATTGAATACAAAATGACCCAATAATAAACATGAGACAAATACAAAATGACCCAATATTTGTTTTGATAAACATGAGACAATTGAATACAAAATGACCCAATATTTGTTTTGATAAACATGAGACAATTGAATACAAAATGACCCAATATATTCAATTTCTGTTGGAAAATTACTGATTATTTTATTCATCTTTTGAGACTGTGTGACATCAATTGAAATACTACATAAGTACAAATATCTTCCCAATAAATACTCTTCATTTAATTTCCAAATCAACATTGAAAAAGTTCAACACATATGATGAAAGCATGAAACACCTTCCATCTCCAGTTCTTTAGATGAAGGGATCAAACAACTTAATGGCTCCCCTTCCACAAAATTATAGCAGGCTTTTAATTTCTTTTCTCTTAATCTGCTTGTCACATAGATGTTTATGAAAGAAATCGAGAATTCGTCTCCAGGAGTCTTCCTGTGCGTAAGCATGGTCTGCAGGTTTACCTCCCCATACCATACAGGTCTCTACAATGAAAACAAGAAAAGAGAGCTTGTAAACAAGTGTACTGAGTATTGCTGAACTAATCATAGTCCCCGACCAGCCCTGTAAAGCATGGTCATACCAACCCCACAAAACAGTCCTTAACCAGTGCTGCAAAACATCACACTAATTCATTTATATACCTCTTAAAAGGTGGCTGAAAACCTTTTGTATTACTGTACACAGCTAGTGTGTGGAAGATGTATGCAAGATGAGTGGACAATGCTTGCACAATTAGGAAATGAAGATTTTGGTGTGTTTTGTATTACTATAACTGTTTGTCAGCATCATAACAAAAATTCAGTGAACATAAAGACCCTTTTAACCAACAAGAGACCCCATACAGATCTTGGTTCTCACAACTGTTTGCAAAAGATCCATCAGACTCTTATCAAGAAATAGCGATAATAAACTTTCATTGTCAAAATCAATCCAAGATGGCACCTGTCCACCATTTTCTTTTTTTTAATCAGTCCCAAAATCAGCAGCACAACAAGAGACCAAGGGGAATGTATTTATGACAGCTCACAAAAGATCCATCCAATACTTCTCAAGAAAAAGGGATAACAAACTTTCATTGTAAAAATCCAATATGCTCACCTCACAGCCATTTTTTTTTCTGATCAGTTCCAAAATTGAAAGGACATAACAAAATTAGGATCGAGGGGAACCTTCATATGAAATTTGAAAACCATCCATACATCAAGAAATAATGGGAAAAAGAATTGTTTACATAAAGATGGACAATATACAATGACATACAAAAGATGGATATAGGGCAATTTGATTTCTGTACAGTTGTTAAAGTTTGCACTGCAAAAAAATATTTGCTTGATATTTCATTTCTCATTATCATTCATAACCATGAATATAAAGAAATGAAATCGCCCACAAATATATAACCAATCATTCAGTAGTTGATGGATTAAAAACTTTACCTGAAGATTGTAACAGTGGAATCAGCCCCATTGTTGAACTCATCCAAGATATTAAGGATACAAGTCCACATACCAAGTTTCATCACAATCAATTTATATTTACTTAATTTATCATGTTTACAAGGTCCACAGCAATCAAAACGCAAAAAGCAAATTCTCTGAAAATTTTGATCAATCAGTTCCATTGTCAAATGCATCAGAGATCTTATCTATATATTGGTGCATACTAAGATTTAGACAAATCTGTACATATTTACTCAAACTATCGTGTTCAAAAGGTCCAATGTAACAAAAATGCAAAGTGCTATCACTCTGCAAATAACAATCAAATCGGTCTCATTGTGAAAAGTAATCCAAAGTGTTATTAATACATTACACCAGACTAAGCTTCATCAAAACCCAAACATAATTTCATGTACTCAAGTTAATGTGTTCACATGGAAAAGATTCATGTATGTTGTAAAACGCACAATGCAATAAGACTGACCAAGAAGGACCGCTATAGATCTTCCAATAATTTTCATATTTCACTCTGTAACACTGGTATGTCAGTTCTAACAAACTTTTACTATGTAAATTGTATCAGCATTAAACCATTACTAAGCACACGGTGAACAATCAAAAACCTTTATCTGAAAACTAAACTTGGAGATTTTGATCAAACATAATTAAAATCTATAGATTTTGGTCAAAAACAATTAACGATTATCATCTGAAGATTTTGGTCAAAAACAATTAACGATTATCATCTGAAGATTTTGGTCAAAAACAATTAACGATTATCATCTGAAGATTTTGGTCAAAAACAATTAACGATTATCATCTGAAGATTTTGGTCAAAAACAATTAACGATTATCATCTGAAGATTTTGGTCAAAAACAATTAACGATTATCATCTGAAGATTTTGGTCAAAAACAATTAACGATTATCATCTGATGATTTTGGTCAAAAACAATTAACGATTATCATCTGAAGATTTCAATACAAAAATGAATCATAAGCTGATGAATTTGACAATTAAGCCCAAGATATACTAAAAATGAAAACAGTTTTCTAATTGCACCAAGCAACATTAATGTTGTCTCCTAAAAGTACCTCAACATAATACATCAACAACATAAAAAAATGTTCAGTGAAATAAACAATTAAAAGTTTACCACTAAACCTTAGTCATAGGATGGATGGACAAATAGATGTAAACAAAACCCATAGTCCTCTTCCCTCTCCCTGATGGTTAATCCTCAGAGGACTAATAATACTCCAGCTTCAATGTTACAACCAGTTGATCTATTACATCTGTAAATGATTTAGGCTGAATACAAATTAAAATGTAAAATTGTAATCTCACTCTAGGAATTGAATGGTTTTAAAAGTGCTGGCCACTTACTTATAACATGACACTGTTGCCCACTTAACTAAAACATGACACTGTTGCCCACTTACCTATAACATGACACTGTTGCCAACTTAACTATAACATGACACTGTTGCCCACTTACCTATAACATAACACTTGCCCAATTACTTACAACATGACACTGTTGCCCAATTACTTATAACATGGCAATGTTGCCCACTTACCTATAACATAACACTTGCCCAATTACTTACAACATGACACTGTTGCCCACTTAACTATAACATGACACTGTTGCCTACTTACTTATAACATAACACTGTTGCCCAATTACTTACAACATGACACTGTTGCCCAATTACTTATAACATGGCAATGTTGCCCACTTACCTATAACATGACATGTTGCCCACTTACTTATAACAAGGCACTGTTGCCCACTTACCTATAACATGACACTGTTGCCCACTTACCTATAACATGACACTGTTGCCCACTTAACTATAACATGACAATGTTGCCCACTTACCTATAACATAACACTGTTGCCCACTTAACTATAACATGACACTGTGGTCCAATGCCTTATAACATGACACTATGTGGTACAGCGTTTATGACAAGAATGTGAATGTGCGTTTGAGTGTTGTGCACAAGACAAAATGGTGAACAAGGATTATGGTAATTACAAATTGTTAGTGTACAGTACTCTGTTATTGTCTATTTTAGTAGAGAACAAGATATATTGAGTTACTCACGCAGCAATCTATTAAACGAGGCCCGACAGAGTGGGGAATAAGGTGGTTCTATCAGGTGCCCGGCTCCCTGGTACACCACCAGTTCTATATTGTCTCGTTTATTTGGAGGGAAGCATTTCACCTGTAGCTGCTGCAGGTCTGGATGGACATTCATGTCATCAGTACCACTGATACTTAAGACTTTGACGTCAGACTCCCAAAGCTGTAAGTCAAATATTACAATCATAGTTTGTAATTACTGCTAAACAGTCCCCTTGAGTAAACACTAGACCATGTTATCATATTTGGTGTTTCACATGTTAAATATACATCAGAAATATCAAATCCAACAAGGCATTCTGACATATACATATCCCCTTATAGTTCTATATTGACTCATGCGCAATAAAGAAGATGGCTATGTGTGTGACTTTGATCAAAATTCCTCAAGGAATGAAACCACTGGAGTGCCGGCAAGGATTCTGTAAAAATACACATGGTCATCTTAGCTTTGACCCTACAACCCTGAACCTGGATGTCATCTGTGATATTTTGGTCTTTTATATGAAAGTGAAGTTTGGTTAAAATCCCTTCAGGAATGAATGAAGCCACTAGAGTGTTGACAGGAATTCTCTTAAATATAGTAATAGTGACCTTGACTTTGAGGTTAAAAACCTGGAATAAACCAAGATACCAAAATCCTTAATAGGGATTGGACTACAATGAAAACCTCACAAGAAATGATTCCACTAGAGAGCTGAGAGGGGTTTTCTTAAAATTGTAAGTGTCCTTGACATAAACCCTACAGCCCCCCTTACACTCGAAACTATCCGAGATTTTGAAGTCTGATAGAAATTTCTCTGGAAATGAAGCTGATAAAGTGCTTAGAAGGATTTTCTAAAGATATCAAGTTACATTGACTGTGGCATCCTGACTGAAACATAATCTGTTTAAGACTTATACATCCTCCTATACATGAATTTTATCAAAACCCGAAAAGCAGTCACAAGAGCAATGACAAAAAGTGAACACACATATGCACATATAAACCTGCACCCTAACTCACATGGGGAAAATAATAAGACTTAACAAACACTGAAGTATTAATATATGTCTACATTATCATTGTTATTCTTTCCATTGGTTCTTATGAATTTCTTTTTTAATCTAGTTATGATACAACATATTCACTTCTACAAATTTAGTCCTTATTCCTTTTGCTAATTGTACTTCACTACTTTACTGTTGACTATATCACTGCACATTAACACCGCCATTCAATTCATGGATACTACCTGGAACAAGAGTGCCGTGGACACAATATACGCCGCAACAAAATACAAAGATCAAGATTGGTCCTTTTAATTATCGCTTCAAACATGTATACATAAGCTCAAAATGAAGTCTGTGAGACCAGTTAGCTGAGCTGGAAGAGACAGGGACCTGAGCAAGTTTTATGAAAATCTTATCATTAGTTTAGGAGGAGTTGCGTTCACAAAGCTCTACTAAGAGCAAGCTACAGATACAAAGTTGAAAATGGCATAAATCTTACAAATATCAACGAACCAAAAAATTATCCTTCATGCACATCTATCTATTGCAGTAGTGACATTGAGCAAGTTTCATGAAAATCTGATGTTTAGTTTAGGAGGAGTTGCGTTCACAAGAAATGGACGTACGGACGTTTAGATGTACAGACGGTGTGACGGAGAAGATGACGCCAATATACGACCGCCTCCGGCGGCTTATAAAAATGTATATAACATTTTCAAATATGCACTACCATTATATTTATAAAGGTAAATACTAGAAATATATGCTGAAATAGGTCTATCAGTTACTCCTAAAGAGTTGAGACTAAGTGTACTAATGAGATAAAATGTAGATACACAAAATGTAACTATACCTTGAAAAACTTGGAAGTGTCGAAACAGTGGCCAGGTTTGGCAACAATACCTTCCTCTGTTTGTTCATACAGAGACAGATCTAACCTAAAACAACACAAGAGTTATTAGTGATTGGAGCCACATGATAAAAATGGGACAAATAAGCATATAAAAGTTGATAGCCAGGGCTTAGTGGCATAAAATGATACTGGAATTAAGTTAGGGACATGAAAGTTGATACTGAGTGATAAGTGACACGTGGTAATACTGGAATAAAGTTAAAGGACATAAGAGTTGATATTTAGTGATAAGTGGCACATGGTAATACCGGAATAAATTTACAGGACATAAAAGTTGATAGCCAAGGGTTAGTGGCACATCATAATGATAAATTGAGTTAGGACATAGAGTTGACAGTGAGGGATAAGTGGCACATAAGTATACTGTACTGCAATAAAGTTGGGGGACATAACATTTGATTGTCAGGGATTAATGGACATGATGTACCCTGGAATGTCCCTACATGTATTAGGTCATCTGATATACCCTGGAATGTCCCTACATGTATTAGGTCATCTGATATACCCTGGAATGTCCCTACATGTATTAGGTCATCTGATATACCCTGGAATGTCCCTACATGTATTAGGTCATCTGATATACCCTGGAATGTCCCTACATGTAGTAGGTCATCTGATATACCCTGGAATGTCCCTACATGTATTAGGTCATCTGATACCCTGGAATGTCCCTACATGTATTAGGTCATCTGATATACCCTGGAATGTCCCTACATGTATTAGGTCATCTGATATACCCTGGAATGTCCCTACATGTAGTAGGTCATCTGATATACCCTGGAATGTCCCTACATGTAGTAGGTCATCTGATATACCCTGGAATGTCCCTACATGTAATAGGTCATCTGATATACCCTGGAATGTCCCTACATGTAATAGGTCATCTGATATACCCTGGAATGTCCCTACATGTATTAGGTCATCTGATATACCCTTGAATGTTTTAGTGATCTACTAGCAGAACAGCGTATAAACTAATTCTACAATGTTTGGAAAGAATTGATGCCGATCATGGACAGAGGAAAATGACTTTGTATGTAGGAAATACTCACTCTATGGCATGTGGATAAGTTATGTGTCCATCATGGACTGGGGAGAATGACAAGTAGGGCATTCCATTAATGCTGGCAATAGCTTTAACCTACAAAGTAACAAAAATACTGGCAGATTTAGTAATTCACATGGTGATGCCGTAATGTTTTACATTTGCATAACATACATGTATGTGTAAATAGTACTGATATCACATTATCAGACAATTTCTATAGCATTTAATTATTGGTGTCATAGACATTCATACCAAACTCACAGGTACATACTGATAACACACGTACAATTTTGAACATCTTTTTTTCAAAACACAATGTATTATGATTAATCAAAGTTTTACGAAACATGTAGTAAAACGATAGCTTTAACAGGGAAAAGTGGATAACTTACCAGGGGACTGTGGATGGCCAGGAACTGACCTAGCTCGGCTCCTTTAGAGGTAGCCATGATACCAATACCACCAGATTGTACATGGGTATGAGTGTCCAGAAATGTAACGGCCTCCTGAACACATATCATAATTATAGCTTAAGTCATAAGATACAATAACAGAACTGATTATTAGATAGTTATTGACAAAACCAAGATTCAGTAGTGATACACAGCATCTTTCAAACTTAAATAACCTTTAAAAAAATTGAAGAAATGCAAAATAAATGTCATATTTAAGGAATAAACAAGTATCCTAATTTAATTTCAGATTTATGGAATATACTTCAAATGACACTAATATTGCTTAGAATGACTCAAACATTAATGATATAATGTGCATTACTTATGTTACATGTGTACTGAATAATAAACAAGTTTATACACAATATGATGTACATTAACTATGTTACATGTGTACTGAACAATAAACAAGTTTACACAATATGATGTACATTAACTATGTTACATGTGTACTGAACAATAAACAAGTTTACACAATATGATGTACATTAACTATGGTATGTGTGTACTTAACAATAAACAAGTTTACACAATATGATGTACATTAACTATGTTACATGTGTACTGAACAATAAACAAGTTTACACAATATGATGTACATTAACTATGGTATGTGTACTGAACAATAAACAAGTTTACACAATATGATGTACATTAACTATGTTACATGTGTACTGAACAATAAACAAGTTTACACAATATGATGTACATTAACTATGGTATGTGTGTACTGAACAATAAACAAGTTTACACAATATGATGTACATTTAACTATGTGTACTGAACAATAAACAAGTTTACACAATATGTGTAACTATGGTATGTGTGTACTGAACAATAAACAAGTTTACACAATATGATGTACATTAACTATGTTACATGTGTACTGAACAATAAACAAGTTTACACAATATGATGTACATTAACTATGGTATGTGTGTACTGAACAATAAACAAGTTTACACAATATGATGTACATTAACTATGGTATGTGTGTACTGAACAATAAACAAGTTTATACACAATATGATGTACATTAACTATGTTACATGTGTACTGAACAATAAACAAGTTTACACAATATGATGTACATTAACTATGTTACATGTGTACTGAACAATAAACAAGTTTACACAATATGATGTACATTAACTATGTTACATGTGTACTGAACAATAAACAAGTTTACACAATATGATGTACATTAACTATGTTACATGTGTACTGAACAATAAACAAGTTTACACAATATGATGTACATTAACTATGGTATGTGTACTGAACAATAAACAAGTTTACACAATATGATGTACATTAACTATGGTATGTGTGTACTGAACAATAAACAAGTTTACACAATATGATGTACATTAACTATGGTATGTGTGTACTTAACAATAAACAAGTTTACACAATATGATGTACATTAACTATGGTATGTGTGTACTGAACAATAAACAAGTTTACACAATATGATGTACATTAACTATGGTATGTGTGTACTGAACAATAAACAAGTTTACACAATATGATGTACATTAACTATGTTACATGTGTACTGAACAATAAACAAGTTTACACAATATGATGTACATTAACTATGTTACATGTGTACTGAACAATAAACAAGTTTACACAATATGATGTTCATTAACTATGTTATGTGTGTACTGAACAATAAACAAGTTTACACAATATGATGTACATTAACTATGTTACATGTGTACTGAACAATAAACAAGTTTACACAATATGATGTACATTAACTATGTTACATGTGTACATGTGTGAACAATAAACAAGTTTACACAATATGATGTGTATTAACTATGTTACATGTGTACTGAACAATAAACAAGTTTACACAATATGATGGTATGTGTGTACTGAACAATAAACAAGTTTACACAATATGATGTACATTAACTATGGTATGTGTGTACTGAACAATAAACAAGTTTACACAATATGATGTACATTAACTATGTTATGTGTGTACTGAACAATAAACAAGTTTACACAATATGATGTACATTAACTATGTTACATGTGTACTGAACAATAAACAAGTTTACACAATATGATGTACATTAACTATGTTACATGTGTACTGAACAATAAACAAGTTTACACAATATGATGTACATTAACTATGTTACATGTGTACTGAACAATAAACAAGTTTATACACAATATGATGTACATTAACTATGTTACATGTGTACTGAACAATAAACAAGTTTACACAATATGATGTACATTAACTATGTTACATGTGTACTGAACAATAAACAAGTTTACACAATATGATGTACATTAACTATGTTACATGTGTACTGAACAATAAACAAGTTTACACACAATATGATGTGTGAACATTAACAATATGATGTACATTAACTATGTATGTGTACTGAACAATAAACAAGTTTACACAATATGATGTACATTAACTATGGTATGTGTGTACTGAACAATAAACAAGTTTACACAATATGATGTACATTAACTATGGTATGTGTGTACTTAACAATAAACAAGTTTACACAATATGATGTACATTAACAATGAACAAAACAAGTTTATACACAATATGATGTACATTAACTATGTTACATGTGTACTGAACAATAAACAAGTTTACACAATATGATGTACATTAACTATGTTACATGTACTGAACAATAAACAAGTTTACACAATATGATGTACATTAACTATGTTACATGTGTACTGAACAATAAACAAGTTTACACAATATGATGTACATTAACTATGTTACATGTGTACTGAACAATAAACAAGTTTACACACTATGTTACAACTGAACAATAAACAAGTTTACACAATATGATGTACATTATGTATGTTACAACAATAAACAAGTTTACACAATATGATGTACATTAACTATGTTACATGTGTACTGAACAATAAACAAGTTTACACAATATGATGTACATTAACTATGTTACATGTGTACTGAACAATAAACAAGTTTACACAATATGATGTACATTAACTATGTTACATGTGTACTGAACAATAAACAAGTTTATACACAATATGATGTACATTAACTATGTTACATGTGTACTGAACAATAAACAAGTTTACACAATATGATGTACATTAACTATGGTATGTGTGTACTGAACAATAAACAAGTTTACACAATATGATGTACATTAACTATGTTATGTGTGTAGTGAACACACAATAAACAAAGAAAGCATGGCAAAACGACAACATTAAACAAGAATAGTGATGAAGAAAACTAAACAACTTTGTGTAACATGACTTCTTCATAAACCTATTTCTTTAAGTCTTTATGTATTTAGATGATTTCAGCTTGATCAATATTCTGTTATACACAAAGTCTGGTAAAGAGGACATTTCAAATATACTGAAAAGTTAAAACCGTATCAACTACCTAGAAGGAATGAAGTTACTTAGAACAACCTTGAACTACATTGTATAGCTAAAATATCATAAAATCTATATGTCTCTAAACCATGTACTGTATTAACTATGGTGAAAATCAGACTGGAATGATCAGTTACTGGATAAGAGTAAAGCAAAAGTTGAACAAAATTGCTTAACATTAATAACGAAAACAGTCTTGGATGAATGAGGTGACCTTAGGTCTTGAAAAAAAATGCATGTTTGCTTATCCTTTGATACTTATCAGTGAAGGATGTAGTTATAATTCACCATCACATCACCATGCACTTACATAAATTATGGCACTCACCTTGAAGTAGTTGAGATCAAGGTCATTTAAGTTTTTTTGAAGATCTTGATATCCAAAGAATGGAAGTGCTAAAACAGCATAGCCTTGTGACGCCAGCAAGGCTGCACGGTGCTCCATAATGCCACCTCCAGCACCATAAATATCTATTATTCCAGGATAGGGCCCAGCACCTAGAAACATAGCACCGAAATATAAAAGCAAATGCCAGCACTAAGTAAAAGTTCAATCATGGGTTCATCCTTTGTTAATAATATAAACAGTTTTTTAATCAATTAAATACTTGTATGTGGGCTGAATACTGTCTGCCATACTTTACTGCTCCAACAGAACTCCCTAAAGGAGGGATAAATATGGGTAATTGTATTGACACACATCCTAAAACAACTTTGAGATCCTGTTCATTGAAGTATACTGTATCCAACATACCATTGGGTATGAGCAATGTTCCCCTAAGTCTTCCCGACATCACAGGTTCTCTATTGACATTAGGAGACTTGTACCAACGAGTCAGCACTTCAGTCACTAATGGTTGATTTGAACTGCTTTGACATAAGTCTGTCAGAGAAAGATGACCACTGTGAACAGAAATGTTAACTAACTGAGGCTTGGTGACATCCATTTGTAACAGTCTTAGCCTTGGAGACTTCTGACCTGGATTTGGACGCATACTCCAAATGAATCCCATACCATTTGTTCCTGTAAATAGATACATCATCTGATCAAAACCAATAACATGCATGTTGTACAAACTTATCTTAGACAAGGTCAGAAACGCGATGACATCTCTTATAATCTAACAAAACCATAGGCCAAATAAGTATTCATGATTAATTGTATTCAAAAGAATACAAATATGGAAATGTTTATAATGAGTCATAATAACAAGAGGGATACCAGGGTGTGTTTAAATGATAAATTGTACCAAGTTTTAAATGGATGGGTGGAAAACTAAATCTTAGGATAAAAAATCCTGCAAAGAACAAAGATCAATAATAAATGCTGAATCAAAAGTCTATTCACTAGTACACAATCTCCTGTTTTGGTTGTAAAGCCTACCAAGTTTCAAGAAATTGGTTACGAACTTAAGAAGGAGATATGTGGACAAGATAAAAATGTTTAAAAAAAACAAAGGGTAATAATTTTTTTCAATAATGTAAAATCACAATGCCATTTTGAAAAACACAATTTCATGTAATGGTTGTATAAAGCTAACTAATTTCAGAGAAATTAGTGAAAAATGAAGAAGACTTTGTACTAAATGAACATGCTAATTAAGAAAAACAAAGGGCAACAACTCTTTAAAAATTATTGAATCATACTGCTGATAGGAAAACATATTTCCATTTAACAGTGTTAGAGCCTTCCAAGTGGAAAGAAAATGGTTGAAAAGAGAAAGAGATGTCAAATTAAATTCACCATTCAGGAAAACACAACTTCATGTCAACGTTATCAAGCCTAACATATTTGAAAAAGATTGAAATATGTACAGTGCCATACCATAACATGTCCAGTAAATTTATGAAGAGTGTATAAAAATTGGGGGGCAAGGATAGAACACAAACACGAACAGGAAGTAGACTAAATAAACTAGGAATGACACTATGTGTTTAAGTTAAAAGCACTGCCATTGGTGTAAACCCAATACCTGTATAAGTGCCTGATGAAGCGGGGGTACTTTCTAGATCCACAGTGCCATCATTTTCTGCTTGGTAACACCCACAGCTGGCAAAAATTTCTCCTTTTTTACCCTTGATCCAGGAATGTATAGTCACTTTCTGATTGGATGCTAGCCCCGATACTCTGACAGACACTCGTTCGTCCACCATTACATTGTGTGGATGGACAGACAACTGAACACCTTCCATTACTGTGCTTGTGTGTAGACATCTGCTGTAAAACATCAATGAAAAAATAAGAAAATGTTATACGGGAATCAGGATTATATGTATATCTAAAGTGTGTCATATTCATACCCTGCTGGTTATCATTGATTTATTTCAACAAATCCAAATGTTCCACCATAAAGAGCAGTTTAATGAATAAATCTGTATAAAGTATATCATAACGTCAATAAAAGGAAATTCGAAAAGATGTGCCCAATCAAAGTAAATAATGTTAAAACTTATAACGGGGTCTAATGTACTTATACAAGACTTCAAGTTCTTAATGTACACTTAAAATGGCCCCATACATTTCAAAATCTCCTCATGTTTATATCTTTACATTGTCTTCCTTCTGCACATACATAACGTAGTGTAGATTCTTTCTGGTAATTGCTTGTTCCAATGTTTTATTCTGGATCAAATATACAAATGTGAACCCTACAAGCATATTTAATATTATGTTTGTGTACATATGTATATATATGTATGCATGTAATACATTCCTTACTAATACAATGTACTGAGTGCAAAAACAGTTATAATCAACAATATCCTTATAAGAAAGAATTAAGATTCACCAGTTCATATATTGTATACAAAGTGTTCACCATAACGATGGTGTATACTAACTGCAATACACCAGTGGGCTACAGAGAACTCTTTAGCTTGAACAATTGATAGGTCAGATTAATATGCCTGGGGTCCTGGGTTTGAATCATAGCGAAAAAATTGAACCAAATAATGACCTCTGTTACATTGTGCCCATGCAGAGACTTGGGAATAATGCTTAGCATTACTTTCACAGGCATAACTGTAACACCTGGAAACTTGAGGATAAGTTATTTTACAATAGAGGGTATGTTACCCTGAGATTACAAGCCATAAAACACCACTTTGCTATCGAGAGAACTTTCCTTCAGCTCGATTGGTTGAACTCCGCACTGGTAAGCCAGAGGTCCTGGGTTAAAATCCTTCGCCCGCAATTGATAATAAGCATTTTAGCTAACATTTCAAAAAAAATCTGAAGACTCCTTACCAATTTTTCATAGCAATGATTAACATCATTTTAACATTAAAAAGTTAATGGATGTGAAAATAATATTGAAATAAATTTCATACCATTTCAATGTTAGATAATTTTTTTTAAATATTAATTAAAGTAACTTTATAAATATTTGCTTTGTATGTTAAGCAACATTGACCATTAAATCATACTAAACATTTTGAACAATTAGAATGTTGATTGAACACATGTTATTTGAAAACAGTGAAGTTCTCCATGAAGTAACAACCAGAATGGCTAGAGAGTACCTTTATATGTGACCTTTATATACCTTTCGAATATTTCAGTTGAATAATTTCTTTCTAGTTGATATATAAATATAGATTTAAACAGGGATGTATAATTTTTTTCTGTATATATTCATGATTCAACGAAACACAACATGACAATGAAATACAAGATCACTTCTACACAAAAATATACGTCTAATTACCTAATTCCAATTTTTCGGGTTTTGCTACTAAAATATAGTAGTGGCTCACTGAAATCTGCAAGCATGGACGTATAACGGAATGGAATATTGGTCCCTGCTGCAAGTATTCCGCGCGCTGTCATGCTCGCGGTAATGTTTTCCGGAAATTTCGATTTGTTGTTGGTCGTTCAGTGTTTTAGTTTCTTATCAATGTTTACTATGTCATGACCAAGGAGTATCGACAGGTCAAGCATAAGAGTGACACCACAGCTCACTGATAGGTCATCAATCTGTCGTTAACTTCTACTGTCATGTAAATACTTTACATAGTTCAATTACCTACTATCATCCACGATTTCAGTGCACAGCAGGTCCGAAGGTCGAGTACATTCTAATAATCAGATTTGCACGAAAAGCTTTCCGGAACTACATTAAAATATATTTTAAAGATTTAAATATCTTTGTAATGTATATACTTCCAAGAAATGTTGCGTTTAATTTCTTATATAAGTGATGATACCATACGGTCTAATTCCAAAAATAATGTGTTATCGTTTCGAGATCGGTTCCGGACCGTTACGGCCAATTTGTCGGACCACATCACGTGAACTACAGTAAAACCTGCGTGACCTTGCACCCGGATACAATTGGTTACTGTAAATATTACGCTTCGATTTCCAGAGAGAACAAAAATTGTGATTTGAATAACTCGCCATATGATATTACGAGTATATATTTCATTTGCTAATTCGTATAGTTTTTCTTGATACACATTACAAGTCAAATAAGTGTTTGATGAAATAGATCTAGCCCATCAGTCCATCATCGGATGCAAGTGCTGTCTGTCAAGTGAATGAAACTCTATGAATAACTGGGCAAGCCTTCTTCCATTTTTTCACTACTGAAGTCAAGACATGCACGTCTTCTGTTGAAGAAATAAGGATTTTAAAATTATCACTTTTGTTGACCCATTTATGACTTGAAAAATTTGAACACATTTCAGCTTATTTGTGTTTGGTAGCTAGCGAGATACCGAAATTACTTAATCAATTCACCAAGCTGAAAGATAATGACAACAAAATGTTTTCTCTTGGTTATTGGAATAAGCATTGTTATGACAAAAGCCTACCATAATCATCACTGCCGAAAAAATTTCCCGCTCCAATTTGAAGAAAGAAAATGGGATAATTGACGGCCAACTAGACTAACTTCACAAACGTTCAATTAATATGGCCGACAGCTAGCAGGACAACATTCGCACCCGATGTAGATAAGTGTGAAATGACCATGGTCCTGGACATTGAATATAGCTAAGAAAACAGAAAAACGTCGAACCGGGTTGAGGTATTAAATTGACGTAAAATACTGCTTGAAAGCGAGAGCAAGTTGATACACAAGATGTACATTTTGAACTGACTTATTCAAGGTTTCATCGAAACGTGTTTGTTTTTTTTTTTACTTAAAGTTTGCAAGAGACACACCCACACATCCACATGCGCATACATTACCGATGTGTTACATTATCATCAATGTCTTCTTCTTTAATTTCAATCCTGTTTTTTATAGCCTTACACTTTTTAAGCACAAATGACATTCCTGCTTGCATCAGACTTCACATTATCAAAATTTGGTAACGCGTTTTTATATTAAACATGTTTGGGTTTTTTTTCCAAACTAGGTTAAACCACGGCTTGTCACCCACACAAACGGTTTTCGAAAATTCCTAAATTTGTATTAATAAAAAAATCAAGAAAATACCAAGATGGCAACATAATCATAATTCAAACTCTAATTCTACAAAGCTAGGGCAAAATATGAACAAAAGAAAGAATTTCAATGAGACTCATGAAAAAGTACAAGGAGAATAAGACGAGATAGTCCGCTGGAAGGGTAAGCTTCTTCTGCTTCATCGAAGACACCTGTCATGTAAATCAGGGTCAATTCAAGTAAGTAATATCACGTTCTCGAATGAGAATAAGGTATACAACAACAGAACCAACAGGCCAACTAACATATTTAAAGATGTTAATAAGCAAGTCATTTTATTTGTAAAATTCGTCACACTCTCATCTATACCGGTTTGATCACAAGTAAAATATAACGAAGACTCGATGTTTCAGAACTTAGTATCAATGTTCAATGGGGCATTCTATTCAGACTTCTATTTCGATCACAATCTTACGACACATAATGACGTCAGTAGCAATATATGTTCCAAAACAAAACAAAATCAAGTTTTACATTTCGAAATGCATTTTAATTCACTGGATCATTTTATGCGATTAAGAGAAAACATACAGTAGTAATTATTAACTTTGTAAACAGAAAAAAACACCGTTGGAAACAATTATCAAAATAATAAAAAAACAAAACAAAACAATTCTTGTATTTCAGCGCACTTGAATTGACATAGAGCTAGTAAAAAGGAAAAAAAAGCCTTACGTAACTGCCTCGCCTCCTCGTAGAAACACGTTTCATAAAGGGCTATTTCTAGAATAAGGTACATGCGTGTTACCCGTATTTGTATGTACTAATCTCTACAAAAAACCCAATAGATTATTTTTGATGAGTTTTCGTAATCAAGACAAAAATAAATTCTCGGATAAATAGTCAGAACCTTTCAGACTAGGTATGTAGACAAACGTCTTCAAGGTTGAATAATATAACGGAAACATCACATTACCACATGGAACTTGAATCACAGAAACAGTATTCAGGATCAACACGAGAAAAATCATTACATACACACTACTAAATGATATGTAAGTATTATGCAGGTAATGTGTACCAACTTTATGATTTAATAATATCAAAACTTGTACAAATGAAAACACTGAAATGAACAGTACATCTGTTTAGGTACGGTAAACAAATTAACTGTTCAGCTTTCCTTGGAGTAAACTAATAGCAGTCCAGTGCGAGAAAGAGCTGACATACGTGTAATTGTTATATACGTTAGTTCTTTAAATCAATACAGTTATTTTTTTCAAATGAGCTAATTTTTATTGTTGTATTTTTTTGTAACTTGAGTGAAATAATACGATAAAACTAAGAGCAAGGAGTCTTTGTGACCTGTTTCTACCACAACAAAAGAACTGCCCCGATGATAAATTGACCTGATCTGTACTCACGTATATCATGTTTACAATACCAGGTTCAATTGATGCGTTATGATATGACATGTAGTGAAGTATCGCTAATCATCATGCAAAATTGACAATTTCAGGTCCCTGTTCCAGGCATTGAAAACGTCTTTATAGTTTAATCCAAGGGTGGTGTTTTGTAAACACAAAAGTTGTAATGATTTGATCATATTTGATGCTGTTGTAATTTAATAATACCCGTCTATTGTGGTAGAAAAGTTTTGATAAACACAAATCCCGAACTTAAATAGTTAATATTTTCGTACTAACAATAATTTACTTATGGATACAAAAGACATATAGAAACGCAAGAACATTAAAGAAAGCCAGATTTCTTTAATATCTTTATAAGCAAGAACGAAAATGCGCTCCAATTCAGAGTCTTTGTTAACTAAACTATTTATGGATCCACTGACGTATACTAATCCTACTATAATTCCCTTACGGATGTATATAAGTATGTAATTGATTAATTAAGTTAATTAAGTTGATAACGAACACATATACAATTTCTATATTCAATAATCTAAATAACATTTTTTCTAGTGTATGTGGTATTCAACTTTCCAAAATACCAATGAAAACATTGTTCATGGAACGCCAGATATTACAAAGGTCTTACGAGTGGTCCATGGGGCTTGTATCGCTCACGTGGATACTTCAGCTTTCATCTAAAACATTATGATTCACAATTATATTGTAACATTTTCCCCGAAAAGATGAGGATTTGAAAGCTCGAAACTTAAGTTTGACAAAACGCTCATATCAAAGCAGAAAAAATAATACATCTGCACATGTACAAAACTCCTATTTGGCCCTGTCGCTCTGCAGCCTACTTAACAAACAGATTTGAAGCAAAATTTGGTCAAAATACTTTCATAGCACCTCGAGATAAATATTTGTATCTATCATATGAACACTAAGCACTTGTAATATATATAACAATGTAAATTGGCATGAAATTTTGTATCCTCTGAACTCTGCAGTAACCATCACTTTTAATTACGTACAATGTGTTTTCCAGAGGAAATTGTAGTACCTATCAAAAATCGAGCCATCATGAGATAAGCTACAAGTAAACGATTTTCATATCACAATTAATATGCAACAAGAGCCACTATGTTTTTCTTTGTCAAACCGTTCAATCATTAGTGTTACTGCAAAGTCAAAGTATTTGTTTGAAAATTCAACGTTCTTCAGACTTCCTGTTATACATGAGTCAGATACCACATTTCAAATATACTATTTTGTTTTTTTTTCTATATTTATTTCCCTAAAATGGAAACAGAAACATCCTCCATATCTATAATTTAAGATACAGTTAATCAAACACTCCGTTGGAATTAGATTTGTGTCGGCACTTTCTCATACATTAATAGAAATGGTGTATATATTCACTGCATATTAGACTTAAATGGAAATTAAGTAAATGAACACTGATATATGATACTATGTATAATATAATTAGTCATAGTCGACTGGATTGTCGCACATCACTAGACTTTTCCTGAAGATTAGTTCTGAAAAAAAATAATATTCGTTTCCAAGAGTCTTCTTGTGCGTAGGCGTGATCATGTGAGTTTCCACCCCATACCATGTTTGTTCCTGAAAGCAATGAATAGAAATGTCTTTGTGTTACATTTCTTTTACCTACAACAATATCATAATTGACTTTTACTAAGAATGTTTTTAATGGTGCTTTAGTGTACATTATCGCTATAACCTGAGAAATTCCAATTTGAACCAACAAGAAACTTCTACAAGTTTAATAAATACAAGAACAATCTGAACAAGATAACAGACCATTGCTTAAGTTCTCTGCGATTAAGGCTATATACAAGTATTACCGGTTAATTTCGCAGAGATATTTTCGCTATTTCGCGGTACAGTAACGTGATTGCCAAAATATAATCTGTGAAATAACGTGACACGTATATGCTAAGTGTCCCGTTTC